GTTTCTGGGCATTTAAGCAACCAAATGATTTAGCAAAATAAACACTTATTGGCATCTTAGGCTTTTATTTTAATGGGAAAAGGGGAGAAAATAAGGGCTTAAAGCTCAATTCCTTAAATAAACAAATCCTGAATTAACATGCTAGGTGTAAATAAATCATATGCTGTCATGAATAAAGTATTAGTAGTAATTTAATCGTTACGTATTATAGCCATTGTTATACTTATTACTTAACTATGAAACATTATTACAGTGATACTATCCGTTTCTAAATCTAAGAAGGCTATTCACAAGCAGAAAACACGATATCCATGGTGCTTTACATAATTCATTATACTATACAATGTAACATACTTTCCGGACACCTGTTCGCTATGGGAACAGCACATGGCAAAATTGATGCTGTATTTGTTTTTGTAAAAAAAAAAGGTTTCGGACGACGTCTAAAGGGGTTGCTTAGCCCCAAAAAAGACAACGAGTTAGGGGGAAGATGATGATGTAAAACAGTTTGAAGATTTACAAGATGCCTGAAGAGGAAAGCAGAAAATACTTTAAAGAAAAAAGTTAAACATTAAAAAACAGATATGCAAGATACATGAAGAGAAAAGAAGAATAAAAGTTAAGTGGAACATAAAAAAAAAAAAACACGAAAAAAGAAAGAAAAAAAAGGAATATACTAGTTCACATTTTTCTTATTATATTCAGGCAGTAGTTAGTTACACAAACTGCTACCTTATTAACTTTATGCATATCCGCAGGTACTGCCCGACCTTGTCATGTTTCATCATTATCCGTCTAGCAGTTTCGCTTACAAAGCAAACGGAGACAGCAGACGGATAGACGGACAGGGTGATTCCAATCATATCCCAAAATTTGGTTTGCAGAATATGGTAACTGAGAAAGATTGCGGGTTCGGTGTACTTACATCTACAAAAATCGTACGGGGTTCCGCGGTGATATGCTTTCTGATTGCTTGAAACTATGGTGATATTCGTCTTTAATGTTATAAGCTGAAATACAGTATGAAAAATAATAAGTTCATTTATCAGTAAAATACGGGAAAATGAAAATAAATATTTTCAAAATTTGCTCTGGATACTGTATTTTGTTCATAAACAAGCTTCTGTCCAAATTTCATAAAATTCCATGAAGGTTTGACACAGTTATTGATGTCCCCCAAAAAAAACTTTAACCAGACTGAACCTGAATGTTGACGCTGCCGACGCAGACGACGGAATATAGGATCGCTTTCATAAATGTCGCAGGCTCGACAAAAATGATAAAATTCAAGTGCCGCAAGTATTCAAGCATTATAAATGCACTTTCTTCTGGAATGCCCTCTTTACAATAACCTCAGAAGATATGACTGATTATATCAAAAAATACCCCAGTTTAGTTAATTTAAACAGAAATGATCTTTTTACATGGATCATGAGTAATGAAGATAGCAGTTTTTTATATATTTTATGTGCATACCTTGATAAAGGCCTGCAACTTAGAAAATCAGAAAATTAGTTAAATACTCTAATAGATAGCAAAATTATCTCCCCTTGACCACTGACCCTTTCCTCATGCATTTGAACTATTATTTTATGTTTCTTTAATCACTCTGTAATGTTTATGTCATGTTGTTATTAATGTTATGCTATTAATGGGCCCTTTAATTTGGAAAATAAAAAAAAAATATAGTCAGAATAAATGATCGCAGACTTCTCCAGCAAGCTTTACCTTAATGGATTCATGGGTAACTTAGGAAAATGTATCGATGTGTAAACCCTTGGGGATAATGTCGATTGTTGATCTGTTATACCATGGATGTATAAACTCACTATGGGTATACACATCTATGGTTATACTATCCGTTAAATTCAGTGTTAAAATTTATAAACTAGGTGATTTCGAGCTTGAAATTGTAGACAATAGTAAATTGTTTGTTTTCGAGTTTGTTGGCCTTCATATGTTTTGATGTATCATGTATCGTTTTTCTGTCTCATTAACATTAACCTATACCTTCTTCTATTCAAATATAATTGGAAGAAAAGTCTAAACATATAGTTTGTCGAGGAAACACATCACGACTAAAGCAAAGAACAAATACATAAACTCAAAGTATACTTTCCACTTTTACATATGGCACTAAAAGTTAGATTAATATTTTCATGTCAATTTTAGGTGAAAGTTTAGACTGTTTCTTTTTAGCCCAAAAAAACTATTAAAGTTAAAAGTTTCTTACAAAACCAACAGTGAAATGCAACGAGAAAAATTAACATTGCATTGTGTTTACAAATAAAATTGAGAATGGAAACAGGGAAATGTATGTCCGATACCGTCTTATCAAATTTGAATTATTCAAAAAGAAGAAATAGACATTGATCAAAAGTGCAAAATCAAAAGTACTTGATGGATAGCATAAGATATCTGTTTTATTTCTTGGCTTAATAAAAATAGCAAAACCAGTAAAAATCAATTCTGCCATATGTTGATCTTAATTATCTTTGTCTATTATTACAATAAATTTGTCATTTTGACAAACTTTATGTGAAACGAATACCATGCATCAAAATAAAAGATAATTACAAGATCTTAAAGTCTGGAGCATCTTAAAGTCTAGAGCATCTTAAAGTCTGGAGCATCTTTACCCAAATGTAAAGAATGTGACAATTTCCATGAAACTTCAACCAATTTCTTCAGTAGATTTAATTGTATACTGCACCTTCAGTATGTTAATCAGAATGATTTAAGGGCTTCAAATTACACAATATGCCCTTTGCTATTCTTTCATATTGCACATGGCATCTGTAATTCTTTCTTTTATTACTATAGAATATATGTTCAACTTTCAGTAGCAATCACCTTGCTAAAGCTATAAGTATTCGATATAGAGGAAGTTAAAATGCATCAAATGAAGTAGGACACTTGATACTAAATTTCAGGAAGCTAGGATTCAGTTTGTGAGAAAAATGCCTGGCCACTCAATGTGTAATAATATCAGTATACTGTAAACAGGAAGTTGATGATCTATGAATGTGAAATGCATCACAGGGTATATAAAACAAGCTTACCTGAAGCTTGCTTTTAAATTTCAAGAAGCTTTTCTGAGAAAAATGCCACACAAATTTCTTTGGAAGAACTTAAACCAGTATACCTCTCCTTCTGAGCACAGGTTAAACAAATATGCTGTCATAATAAAATAGTTTGCAAATATAATAGTTAACATAAAAAAGTTAAAATTCATCAACTAAGGGCAATAACTCTTGTAAGGAGTCAACTGGGGATATCTACTTCAGTTATTTGTTTTGCAGATCAATGTTTATTGTATATAGATTTTCTTTATCTACTACAGTTTTCACCCAAAACTGGTAAATAGGGTAAAATGGTCACTGAAGGGCAAACAACTCTATAAGTCATCATTTGAAAATTTCATCTATGTTAACCTGTTTGCAGATGTTGTCTTGTTGATCATTTTTCCCTTAACATTTTTCACTATAAGTTTTCAGGATTAAAGAAAAAATTGGGTAAAAACTGTTAAGAGCAATAACTCCCACAAAGTCAACTGACATTTTGGCCATGTTGACCTTCTTGTTGATCATTTTTGCAATTAAAGTTTTTCCTCTCTTTTTGTTCTCCAAATACAAGCGCAAAAAATTTTGTATAAAAATTGTCATTTAAGGGCTCCTATAAGGAGTTATCTATCTTATAATGTTTTATAAGATACATGTACTTACATATTACCCTTTTGTTCTATAGGTTTAGTCACAGCAGCCATATTGGTAGGCAGGTGAGCCCATCAGGCACATTTTTAAAACTAGACACCCTAAGGAGATCTTAGGATAATTGTGACCAACATTTGTTCCAATTGGGAAGGCAGTTTCAGAGGAGACCATTTTTGTATACAGTTAAATAGAAAATGATTGACGCCAAGTGATGGCAATGGCTTACACTGGCCGAGCTAAAAATACAATGTCAACCCTTTTAAATTTAAAAAAAAAAAGAGAATGTGTCCATGGCATATAGCATTACAAAGGGACATAACTAGAGAACTGTAAAAGTGATGTCACCCAAATTCGAACTTGATCTGAGTTTTGTGGTAATAAGCATTGTGTAACTGAAGTTATAAAACAGAAACGAAAAATTCAGCAATTTTTCCATATATACAGGGACATAACTCTAGAACGGTATGTGACGCCACCCAAATTCAAACTTGATCTGAGTTTTGTGGTAATAAGTATTGTGTAAAAGTTTCTAATTATTTGGTTGAGGCAAACTAAAGTTAGAGAACAGAAACGAAATATTAGAAAATATCAGTGTCTTAATTGACTGTCTGTGCCTGAAAACTAATGTGTATTTTGTCTGTTTGGGGGATTTTAAATAGACATAAACTAAGTCATCAACACCAAATTCAACCTTTGTTGTTATCAAATTTAAAAATGTGAAAAAATGTAGGTTGAGGTGACCCAATATTTTTAGAATGAAAGTTTCCTTCTATCCAAGATCTGTAGACTGACAAAACATTTATAATCTATAATTTTCAAATGGTGTGATCTGAAAAATTAGGTAAAATAAACCACACAAGTACATGCTTAAATGTTCAAGAAGTTGACCTAATCTGTTTATTGACCATATGTGGAGTCAATAATGTACATACATGTACAAATAAAATATCCTTTACTTTTAAATGTAGTTTTGGATCCTTTTGCAAAAATGACCTGTTTTTGCATTCATTATTTTGTACATAAATTAGGACGTAGGTTTTCTCGTCTGAATTGTTTTTCATTTGTCATTTTGGGGCCTTTTATAGCCAAATTTGCGGTATTGGTTTTGCTCATTGTTGTAGGCCGTACAGTGACCTATAGTTGTTAATTTCTGTGTCATTTGGTCTCTTGAGGAGAGTTGTCTCGTTGGTATTTATACCACATCTTCTTATTTTTATATGCAATGGACAAATATATGAAATGTTATCTCCCAAACTCTGTTCGACAATATAATAAAAAATACATACACATGACTAATATTATTTTATTGTTTGTAAGATATACATTTTATATGAATAGAACAGCTTTTTAAAGCAATGATGTGTATTTTGTCTGTTTCAGGATTTTAAAAATCTTACACGTCACTTAAATTTTTTAACATTTTATTTTCTCTTTACCTTTTAATCTATTTTATGATGTCTATTCATTTTGTGTGATGCTCTTTACAGTAGACAGTGGGTCAGCAAGAAACATATTTATCAAGTATTCAGTTTCTGTGATTCTTTATTGGTTGATCAAAAAATCAAAAAATAAAATCATCAAGTTTAAGTAGCTGATGAGGGAGACCAAGGCAAACTCTGACTAAACAGATAAAGGATACTATGGATTTATCTATTTTCCTGGACACTGATTTTCATTGATTGATGAAACTTGTATTTTGTCGATATTAGTTTTACCAAAGTCTGCATACTAGCGTATAGAAAATTTGTGCTTTGTTGAACATTTAAATTTGTTGTTAACCCTTACCCACCAAATTAAGTATACCAAAAATAACTATCATACCCATTATTTGACCTGTAGGTCTTGGTCAATAGGGTTATAACCATTATGGTATTGATATTTTTAAGCTATTTTTAATTCTAACACAAAATATCATTTGCTCAAAAGTCTATAAACATTTCTTTTTTCACTTTATTTTGTTTCTCTTTAAACAAAAGAGGCATATTTTTAAATACCACTATCCCATCATAAATACATACTTTGTACATTTTGCAAATGGCCCTTTTGTAATTTTGATTAAACAGACCTTTTCCACCCACTTTACTTTTCAGTCATATAAAAAAATAAGCATACATGTATAATGATCTATAATGTGTAACCAGTTTCTAATCCATGCGAAACAATGGCCATACCAGTCAATATATATAGCAACCTATTTTTGATTGACACAGTTAAATTAATGGCCATACGAGTCAATAGATTTAGCCACCTCTTTTTGATTGATACAGTCAAATCAATGGCCATATGAGTCAATAGATATAGCGACCATTTTTGATGGAGTCAAATCAATGGCCATACCAGTCAATAGATATATTGACCTATTTTTGAAGGATAATAAACGCATAGTTTGATCTGATTATAATCAGTACACAGGGAGACAAGCATATCTGATGTGACCACCTCCTCTAATTTCCTTCATTCGACCACAGTGCCGCAGAACAGTCAATATAGCACGTCCAACATTGTCCATTTTTAAAGTTGAAAATTCTTTAATGTCTTCCTCCACTATGAAATATTCTCCTAAAAAGAAAGTTATACAGTAATAAAGGTAAGAGGAGTTGGAATTTATAATTTTTGTAAAAACAATCCTGAGTTAAAAACATATTTACACTTCATGAAAACTATTGACTTCCTTGTGAAGAAAATGTGCACTTATTATATAAGCTCAGGGGCATCAATAGACAACAGACAATCTGTTTTTCTTGGAAGACTCATATATTTTTATAAGTCTTCCAAGGAAAACAGATTGTCTGTTGTCTACAAAAATTAAGCAGAAATGGATAGGTTCATGTTTTGGTATTGGAATTCCCAAAACTTTTAAAAAGCAGCGGCTCTTTTCACAAAAAATCTTAAGAGTAAAAATACTCGTAAGTCATACACATTTCAGTATAACTTACGACCAATTTTAGTCGTAAGATTTTTTGTGAAAAGAGTCGCAGGTATACAACTTCATATCTTATTACTGTAGAAGAATCTGTACAATTTGGTTGTTTACTGTCAAACTATTTTCAAAAAGCTGCATATCAACAAATTAGACAATGATGATGAAGCAAGATGATAGAAATTATCTTGATGTGTCACTACCTACCGCTTCACATTGTCAGGCAACATAAAGAAATAGGAGAAAGTACATGTACTTCAATGAATCAATTGTAGATCAAACATTAAAATGTATTCATCAGTGTGGTATTCAAGAAATTTCAATGCCAAATGAGCCTTTGACAAATATTTTATGTAGATCAGAAATTTTAACGCATGGTGTTACCTCCTCAAACATCAAGAAACCTTTTGAAGAGGCCTGACCCAAAACACTGATTTCTGTACATGCAACTGACCAAATTGATAAAAGTCTTCTAATTGTTTAGGTTTAAATTTGGTGCACTTTAATTTGCCTAGGAAGGTTTATGTATGCACTATGACATCTTTTATTTAGGAGAGATCATGATTATAATCTGTGAAAAATACAGACAAACTTAGAAATGAATCTCTTTAAAATTCCCGCAAGGGTGCAATGTAACAGTGTCTCTATGGACCACAACGACAAAACTGGTTTCTACAATGGGGAAGATCCTGGTTAAAAAGACATAATAATTTTCAGAGAAATTCTTCAAAACTTGAGTTATTTTCAGCAAAAATGTTTGAAATTATTGTAAGAATTAGAGTACAAACCTTCACAAAATTAAAAAAAAAATTTGCAGACAATAACAGGAAACTTAAATTATTATATTCTACTCATGATTATATCATATACAGTTACAAGCCATTTTTATTACAGTGGTTAAAGAAAATAAGTACAATGAAATAGTCAAACCAATTTTGAACACTTTTTATATAAAAAAAAAATCTATTGCGAATATGTATTTTCTAGGTAATGATTAAAAAAAAAAGAAAATTAATTCCGTTTTAAAATAGACAAATCCAAAAAATATTGAGCAAATTGTTATTTCAAATGTCATATGCTATTGAAATTTACATTAATATTAGAACAAGAAATCTTTTATTTTCTCAGTCTTAAGTAGAATTTAAAAGAATTAAAATAACATTTTTCAATAAAATTAAATCTGAAACAGATTATATCTGAATTATATCGTTTCCATGGCTCCTGCTTACCGATATTCTGATTGAAAGAAATACTTGAAATGAAAAACAAGTCTCTTATCTGGAAAATCAATACTTTATATTGAATAAAAATCTGTTCAGATAAATTAGCTTGTTAATAACATCCTGAAATTGGTGTAAAACTCATTGTAGAGACTATACTTCAAATACACAATATAAGTGATTTTCCTTCAGGAGATCTAAATTGGTTTTGTAAAATGATGATATTCTGTTTATTGCAATTCTAGAGTAAAATAACAAAATACTTCAATTTTTTTTTATCTGAATCAAATCTAATTGAACTATATGATGTGTCTTTTAGAAATGGATGCTCTAGATCTGCTAAAAGAAACTATCTGAAAGATCTAAATCTTGGATCTAAATGCAAAACTAAAGATGAGGTTATCCATGTGTAAAATGTAGGTCATGATAATCCAAATATATTCTGTGACAAAATAAGAATACTTTTGAATATATAATACCATTATAAAGATATAACATGTTTAAAGTACAAGTGGTAAAACTTAAATGCTTGGCCTCTCCAATGCAGCAAGCACAAAAAATAAACTAAAACCCTAACAAACAAAAAGCAGCTGTCCATATTTCTGCCGCCAATATTTCCCTGCAATACTTCAGGCAAATGAACCAGAATCAGTCCACTTCCTAATACAATTAACTTGGGCATTACAGACAGGCTTAGGGTAATCATAATCAGCTGTAATCGATTGCATTTTGCAGTGTAATCACAGGTAAACAGTAATAATACATTTTCTGATTACAAGTAATCGTACTTCAATCAATTACAATGGAAAACAAACTGTTGAAACAGATATAAGTCTCACCTGTCAGCACAAAATTCAGAAAAGACAATCTGATGTACAGCAACATTAACAGTTGTTTTCCATTTGTTTGGTGTGTTTGAGCTTTTGATTTTGCTATTTGATAAAAGACTTTCCATTTTGAATTTCCCTTTATGTTTGGTATTTTTGTTATTTTACTTTTTGCTTATTAATTCAAAGTCATTGGACCATGATCTAGTGGACAGGGCCTTGATATAGTGGTCAAACTGATATGTACTGATAGTAATGCAACTTCATACAAAATATCATCGATCTATCACAAGTAGTTTTTATTAAACTGACTTAAGCAAAAAACTTAACATTGAAAATTGCTAATTAATTCAAAGTCACTGGACTATCATGACTATGATCTAGGAGGCAGGGCCTCAACATGGTCGTCAAACTGATATGAACTGATAGTTATGCAACTTCATACAAAATATCATTGATCTTAACACAGTCCTGATAAAATTATGTTTTCTACAATGTATTTGTATATTTTTTGTTTTTTTTATTTTTATTTGATTTTTTGACTACATGTACATCTTGAACAGTTTTATATCTTATTATGTTAACAATATTACATCGAACTACTTGACTGTAAAAATTAACTATGTGTAAATATCTGTTTTTGATTGTATTGTAATTTGTATGTGAGGGCCTCAGGGAAGATTAGTTTATTGTAACTAACTGAGTTTACCCTCTTTAAATAAAGAATTTATTATTATTATTATATTATTATCACAAGTAGATCCTATCAAACTAACTTAAGCAATTACTAATTAATTCAAAGTCACTGGACCATGTCCTAGGGTGCATTGAAAATTACTTATTAATTCAAAGTCATTGTACCATGTCATAGGGTGCATTGAAAATTACTAATTAATTCAAAGTCATTGGACCATGTCCTAGGGCTAGGGTGCAGGGCCTCTAAATAGTCATCAAACAGATATGTACTGATAGTAATGCAACTTCATACAAACTATCATTGATCTATCACAAGTAGATCCATCAAACTAACTTAAGAAAAAACTTAAAATTAAAATTACTAATTAATTCAAAGTCATTGGACCTAGGATGCCTAAAAATAGTCATCAAACTGACATGTACTGATAGTACCGGTAATGCGACTTCATACAAAATATTATTGATCTACATGTATCACAAGTAGATCCTATCAAGTTAACTTAAGCAGAAAAACTTAACATTGAAAATTGCTAATTAATTCAAAGTCCCTGGACCATAACCTACAGGACTGGGCCTCAAAATAGTTGTCAAATTGATATGTACTGACAGTAATACAACTATATATTAAACATCAATGACTTATCACAAGTAGCTCCTATCAAACTAACTTATGCAAAAAACTTAACAATTGTTGACGCCGTTATCTCCTTCGCCGGAAAAGCAATCCCTGTGTCTCGCTGACTTTCGTCGCAGGCGTGACAAAAACAGGTGTATCATGATTACTTTTAGATCACATTCATATGATAACTCGGTGTTTCAAATTTTATATATGAAAATTGTTTTTTTATATATACTATCATGAATAAAAATTCATCAAACTATTGTTCACTATGTTTGATCATGGTTCACTATGTTTGATCATGATTCAATATGATAGATCATATTTACATTTTCAATAATTTCAGTTTAAGTATAACCATTCTTGTAGAGTGTAAATGTGCGACTTGTTTTAAACACAGTTTACTACATGAATTTACCCTTCCAAATGTGTTTGATACTTGTAATATGATGTCTGCTTTGAAATAATTGTGTTCCCTGAGGGAGCAGAAAATTATGAGCCTGTTGAGGCAAAGTGCAAATATTGCTCTTTATATTGACTTTGATAATTGACTTAAATGAGCCCACTTTGATCAGATGGTAATGGAATTTAGAACCCTTATTTTCCCTCACAAATTTCATAAAATAAATTTCATATATATATACCAGTATTAAAATAAACTGCATATAAATTTATTGATTTTTGTAATTAAAGCATTTCATTGTTATTACCCAATGAAGTACATTAAGAAGTGATTATTAAACACTTGTTAAAACATATGCAAATGTACATTATGTTACAAATAATTGTAATGTAATCGATTACATATAAATAAGTTCATTAATTTGTTATTCAATCTATTACTTTTTAAAATAATCATCCCATAACAGATTGATGTAAGCGCCATTGTTATATTCATATTACTGTGTAAAAATTGTATTTTTGTGGAAACTTGATTTCATAGTTTTGCAAATAAAATTGAGAATGGAAATGGGGAATGTGTCAAAGAGACAACAACCTGACCATAGAGCAGACAACAGCCGAAGGCCACCAATGGGTCTTCAATGCAGCGAGAAACTCCCGCACCCGAAGGCATCCTTCAGCTGGCCCCTAAACAAATATGTATACTAGTTCAGTGATAATGGACGTCATACTAAACTCCAAAATTATACACAGGAAACTAAAATTAAAAATGATACAAGACTAACAAAGGCCAGAGGCTCCTGACTTGGGACAGGCGCAAAAATGCGGCGGGGTTAAACATGTTTTTTGAGATCTCAACCCTCCCCCTATACCTCTAGCCAATGTAGAAAAAACATACGCACAACAGTACGTACAGTAAAACTCAGTATAAGAGAAGTCCGAGTCCGATGTCAGAATAGGAAACAAAAGAAAATAAACAAAATGACAATAATACATAAATAACAACAGACTACTAGCAGTTACTGACATGCCAGCTCCAGACCTCAATTAAACTGATTAAAAGATTGCATACAAAATTATAGAAAATATGTATTTCACTGAATATTTTAATTTGAGGTTCACCTATACCAGTAAACTTTCTTATTACACCTGGCATTTACTGGATGGACCAATAGCATGACAATTTATTGTTGAAAAAAAAAAGGTGTGAATTAATTGTTATGTTAATGACAGAACTGTTTATTAAGGAAATGATTGAATGGATGAGCATATTTTACTTAACAATGGCACTGTCAATTGTGCATGTTGAAATTACACTTTTGAAAATACATGCTGTCAGCTGCATTGATGATAATTATAATGATTACAGACACTGGTAACTGACCATATGATTATGTATTATTTCTGAGACTGACATTTTGACATCTTAAAAACGGATCTCACCACGAAAACTAAAATTGAAGGTTCCTATGATAGTAAATCACTCACAAGGGAAAATTAGGCCATTTTGATTATTTTCCCCTTGTCTTGTGTACCTTTAATCTCTTATCTAGAAGAAAATCTAAATTTTAAAATATAAGGCTTTTACAGAGAGTTCATTGGAATCGAGGCAAGTAAATTATTTTTTTCTTTTGTAGCAGGTTTACATAACATTAGGATAAAAAAAATTATTTACAAAATGTTTCAGGAAAACTTCCCAAAATCAAATGATCCACCACTAAGTGCCTAGTGGTCATCCCAATATTTATGAAAAATGAAATGACTTTCAGAATTCAAAGCAGTTACTGGTAACTGAAATGAATAAAATCAAGTAATTTAAATTGGCCTCACAGTAAATATATGCTTTTTAATAAAGTAAGAGTTTTTGTAGAAATTGGTAATTTTCACTGTTTCAAATTACTGTTTATCAGCTATAGTTTTTGAGATAAATAAAAAAAATCTGGCAAGAATTGTACATGTGAGAGCGCTAACAAGACCAGATTGACAGATGAACCGACGGTATTTTTATGTTTCCCCCTGCAATAAATCAAATGTAAATATAGTCTCTACTTTGGACAGTGTATTGACAGTCAAACCTGCTACAAAGGTCACTTCTTTTAAGAGAAAACCTGTGTTGTCAGGTCATTCTTTTCTTGTTCCGCTGTAGTAATACCTATGTATTTTGAACCTAATTTCAAAGGTCAACTATCTTGTAAGGTCATTATTCTCTGGTTCCCAGGGTGACCTTTATAAACTGGTGCTTGCCATTTTTTTACATGCGCTTTCAAATTTATTTCTTCCTGTTCTATGCATAACATAAGAAAAAGAATTTCTACAATTTTATCATAATTTGTCCCACAAATAGTATACTACACTGTAAAAATCTTATTGAGAAAGGGCAGGTCTGGTTTTTCAAATTTGCATTTATTGTTATAAAAAAATGCCCAATATAGATTGAAAAATAGTCATTTATTGGCAAGAACCAGTACTTCTATAATAAGGCAGTTGATTGTTTTGGTCATATTGACATTTTTGTTGATCATGTTTTGCTGACAGTATTTTCCAATATACTATAATTGTCTATTTATTATAGTTTTCAAGGTAATATGCAAAAAGCAATTCATCAAATATAATCATTGAAAGACAAAAACCTAGAACAATTTGATGGTTGTAGTCATATTGTTATTTTTAGTAAATGCATGGGTGATGATTTTTGCTGTTTATAATCACTAGCCTATTTAGTTTTCCAGTAAAATCAACAAAGTGGAAAAATTGGTTAAAACAACTTCATCATTTAAGTCAATTGATGGCTTCAGTTATATTAGAAATTTGTGGATCTTGTTTTGCTGATCATCTTAATTGTTTTGTTTTCAAGATAATAGGCACAAACATGAAAATTGGTAAAAAATCCTCATTTGAAAAAAACAAGTCATTGCATTGTAATCTTGCAATTGGGGGTAGAGCTAATATTTGTATAGTTTGTACCTAAATTATTATTAAAGTTGGCAGTTGTGTAACTCAACAAACCTGCTGTGTCTTTTGTTTCCTGTAACTTGAATTTTTCATATCTTTTCCTGTTAACATCATTCAACGTTGTCCTCTTCATTGATAATATTTTGTATTTTTCCTTTAATGGCTTGTTTAATTCATCTATTGCACCATTCACTTGGGTGTATGTTAAACGCCCTTTCATGTATCTGCAATATGAAATATAGATATATATCTGTTATTATTTTTAATTAAAGAATCACATTATCAAAAGCAAGAATCATTAAAGTGCTTGTTAGCACTGAAAGGTAAAGATTGCTTTAATTTATCAGTGGGAAGTCAAATTAAACATTGCATTGTATAAAGCATTGGTTGTGGTTGATTCAACTACAATTCTGGAAAAAGGAAGATAACTCCAATTTTTGAAAATGACTTTAACAATGACATCCTTTTTTTGATATTTTTAGAACAGATATTAGATTCCTATACCTTGCAAAAGTTATGTAATTTTCTTGACAAGTATAACATAATTTTGTGACTTGAATATCTGAGTGTTTATTTCATTGATAAATTTCTGGAAATGTTCATGGATGGGATGTATAGAATGTTATAATCAATGCACTATATTTTGTGTATCTCAAAAGTAGTGATAAACCTTGGAAGATTTAGATATCAAGTCAGTACCACAGGGTTTTGATTGCATTTCATGCAATCTTTACCCAAAAATGATTTATTTTCATCAATAACAAATTTATTGCAAAACCTAATTTACAAAGGGAGATAACTCAAACGTATTTACAGTTTACACAGTGATTTAATCAATAACAGCTTTTGCAATTTAAAGTTTCTCTTGATATTTACTTGCTAATAAATATTCTCTTGCTGTTTGTATATCAATAAGTACTATACTCAACAATATAATAATGACAACTTAATTTCTTAAGAATACCTCCCCAAAAAAATAAAAACTCATCATAGTTACCTAGATTGAAATTTTGTAAAGGCACAGATTAAAGGGGGGAGACTTCCTCTTTTTCATTTTAAAAATTTTAAATCTTCCCCCTTTGGACATCATCTGTGAGGGAGGTCAAAATCTCCCTAACTTCAACCCTTTCATTTGATTTTTTTTCTGTAATTTTCACAGTCTTGCAATAACAATGCTCATGAGCAAAGTATCAACAACATGTCATTTTGTAAGAAAAATCTATGCATCAGAGGACCTTAAGACAAAAATAAGAACATTTTTTGCTTATTTTATAAGCTTTGTATATATATGTGCATCTATTTTGAAAGGATTAATTTGGTAATATTTCAGAAATTAAGTGATAAATGAATTATTTTTCAAAAATTTCAGTTATAGTTCAATGAGCCAAAGTTACTTTGTATGAATTTTTTTTATCAAAATCAGTGACATACATGATGATCTATTTTACACCACCTTGACTTTAAAATCAACTATCAATTTCATGAAACATTGCAGTTTATTAGTTCATGTTGCTTTTGGGGTTTTTTTTGGTACTGTTTAAGAAAATATTTTAAATCTACTTGGAAGTAGAGCTGCTGATATGAGTGTGAAAGAAGACATTACTTCTATGGCAGCACATTATGTACTATGTACAATCTTCTTATATCTTAGCGCATTTGTTATTTGATATGTTTTTAGTATTATCTAAACTTGTTACTGTGCTCTGTTGTCTCTAATACTGATATTAGAGTGCTTTTCCTGATTAGGTTTAAATTGTATATAGATATAGGAAGATGTGGTATGAGTGCCAATGAGACAACTCTCCATCCAAGTTACAATTTATAAAAGTAAACCATTATAGGTCAAGGTACGGCCTTCAACAGGGAGCATTGGCTCACACCGGACAGCAAGCTATAAAGGGCCCCAAAAAATTACTAGTGTAAAACCATTCAAACGGAAAAAATCAACGGTCTAATCTATATAAAAACAAGAAACGAGAAACACGTATGAACTACATAAACAGACGACAACTACTGTAATCAGATTCCTGACTTAGGACAGGTGCAAACATTTGCAGCGAGATTAAACGTTTTAATGGTACCAAACCTTCTCCCTTTTCTGAAACAATAGTATAACATCCCAACATAGATGACTATATTCTTCTGGTAAAGATTAAACAGGAAGGACTTAGTACTAAAACAATAGTCAGGAACCTTGTCATTGGTTGTTTTTAAATCAGTGTGTCCTGTATACACGTGAGTGAAACTTGCTTAAAGTCTACTTAAAGATATAGAAAATCAACAAATGAAGACAAGGGTGAGTTAGGTACAGGTATGCAACATGTGTATACATGTAGGTATACATACTACAACCTGTGTATACATGTAGGTATACATACTTGGGTACTCCTTCAAACTCTTCAACTGTTACATATTCCACTGTTGGTACATACACATCTAATTTTCCTAACTTTTTACAGGTTTTCTCATTTTTTTCTGCAGATTTTATTTTATTGGTACCATTACCACTTTTCACTGTATTTGTCTGGCTCTCTTTTTTAGTTTTTGCATCCCTGTAAAAAGATGAATTCAGTGGATGTATATGAAACTCTGATGAAAAACATTCAGAAATATTTCCATTTGAATCTGACCTATAAGACGTGTCTAAAGCAGCAATTTTAATTTGATGGTGTGTCAAAAAAAACCAAGTGTTTCACATTTAGATTATAAAATAGAGAATGGAAACAAGTGTTAAATGACTTACTCTTTTTTTAATTTAAAAATTCATAATGAGCAACTTCCACATAATTTTCCATTCATATTTCCAGTGTCAATGAAAATACAACTGATATTGCTGATAAAATTGTGATATGGAGTATGTTTACCCCATGTTCTATTGGAATTAGAAAATGGCTTCTATACTACTAAAGGAAGAGAGATACCGATTTCATTGAGCTGCAACTCGTCTGAAACCATACAAAGCAGGAAAAATTTGTGATATGACGTATAAATGTAGTGTTTTGTACTTCCTAAATTTGTCTTTGAAACAATCTTTTTTCCACAGAAAACGCCAATTTTTGAGAAAATATCCAAATTCTGAGACCGTTATTGATCCGTGTCTTATACGCTTTCATGCATGCGAAATCCATGTGAAAGTAAGAAAGAAGTTAGGTCTTCAAGGATCCTGTATTGTATTGTAAGTGCATCATTTTGCTAAATTAAACGACATCCACCCTTTTTACTCAGGTGCAGAACTGTCCAAAAATGAAATGGGCGTTGAAAGTGTCAAAGTGATCCTCCCCCCTTTTTATGTGTAAACACAGGCACCCGACGTCCGGACCCCTCCTCCTTTTTATGAGTAAACACAGGCACCCTTGACACTCTTTGTTTCAACACTTGCCCAATTGAACCGCGATTTCGCTGCATCTTCTAGTTATAAACAAAACAAAAGAAAACCATTCATTTACCGTCATATATTGTCAATCTTTTTTGTACAGTCTTAAAACCAAACATGGGGCAAAAATGAATTTAATGATTGAAAGGTTAGGACCTAAAATATTTCTTACTGGAGAACAGCCTCCTTCTTTGCTGGTTGTGGTATGTGTACAGGAACATGTTGACAACTATACTGCAAATGGCTAATCAGACTTTCAAATGTCAACTTAACCTCCTGAAAAAAAAGTCAAAAACATCACTTGTTTAATTTGGTAAGTGACAATATTTTGAAATTATAAAAATACAATGTTCTCCTGTTACAGTCATGACAGTTATTAAACATGACAAAGGCTGATGATTAAAATAGTAAGGCTATACAAAATAAGGGCAAATGAAAATCATAATTAACACGATGATCAGAAGACAAACTCAAAGACAGCAGATCCCAAAATACCAATAAGAAAACCAAAGATTAAGCAACACAAACAAACCAAAACCTCAGACCCTCCAAAAGAGTAACCAGTTTCTGCTTGGATAGTGGCATTAAATCCCACAACATATAAATGTATCTTGCAGGAACAACTGTTTAGATTTTAAAGGTCTTACATTTTCATATAATTTTCTTATTCCAAACTAATACAGAATTTTGTTCTAGAGATTCCTTAGCTTACACACAAGTCATGGTGTGTGTTAGTGAACAGTCATCAATGCCCTTAGTGGATCACAGAGTAGGTATTTAGAACCTTATGTCGGATGCTATTCATGTGCAATTGCATGGCTTTGGGGGTTTTGTATTATATCAAGGGTACAAAAACTGGGCCTGAAAATGCACACTAGTTATACATGTAGTCGTAGTGAGCTCACACCAAGAAAGTCTAATCCAGATTATCCTATTATCCAAACTTTTAGTTAAGACTGTTTCTTCAAAACATACAGGGTTCACAGGGAAGGCACTTTGAAAATGGGGCAACCATCTATAGAGGAAATTTTAGAATCTTTTACACTTTCACAGTACAAAAACACCCAACCATAATTAATATTTCACTGGGTCACATTTATGTTTTTATTGAATAGCCAATCTCTTAAGTAATTTTTTTACATGAAACTGAGAATTCAGTCTGGTCTTAATACAACCTTTAAATGGATGATACTCAGTCATGATACAACCAGTGTGCCAAAAACTTTTGACTATTGGGCTAGTGACCAAATGTTATGTCTATTAGACTGAACTAATTTTCACAAGACCAAAAATTTAAAAGAGAAATATAAGATTAAAATGAATAGTTTATTTATTAGGTTGGGGACAACCCTCAAAATGGGAAACAGTTCCCCAAATGAGTAACAATCTCTGAAATGAGGGATATTTTTCTATTGATAACATTTTTTTTAATTCATATTTTATATTTAAAATGACACATACATTTGTATTCATGATACAAGCAACTTCTCCAAAAGATGATAAGCTCTAACCTGTTTTTCTGAGAAGTTTAAAGCCTATGAACATGATGAAAACTTCTGAATATTGACAACTTTCAAGACTAAATGATTTTAAAATTCAAAATATCAATATAGTTCTTTTGAAACTAATCATCACATTTAATTTTCTATAAACATGATAAACTTGTGCCATTTCAAGTAAAAGACTCAGCTAAAGAATTCACATTCTAAGCACTCGTCAACTATTACTCAACTGAGGGATTGTTACTTATTTGGTGAATTGTTCCCCAAATGGTGGGTTGTCCCCAAAATGTTTATCCCTCATATTCTTCATGAATGTTGTTTAAAAAGCCGAGAACGTTTTCCCTCATATTTCTTTTTGTAACAAGAAACTTCTTCAGGTGTTCATGTAAGTTTTTTCAATATTTACCTGGGATAGCCCCTGTGTCCATTTAAGCATCAAAGCCATCATTGTTAGTAACTAGCTAGGTATATAGTGTTGACGACTCGTTCCCTTTGATTAGAAGTAACAGAAGCCGTAAATAATAATTTAGGGACACCAGTACTTACGCAAACACTTTAAGATAATCACTAGACGATTAAGGAATTACAAGTGCTTCTCCACTAGTTGAATGAGAATTATACTAAACAGGGACTTCAGGCTAGGGTTTATGGGAATTATACTAAACAGGGGCTTCAGGCTAGGGTTTATGAGATTTATACTAAACAGGGGCTTCAGGCTAGGGTTTATGAGATTTATACTAAACAGGGGCTTCAGGCTAGGGTTTATGGGAATTATACTAAACATGGGCTTCAGGCTAGGGTTTATGGGAATTATACTAAACAGGGGCTTCAGGCTAGGGTTTATGGGATTTATACTAAACAGGGGCTTCAGGCTAGGGTTTATGGGATTTATACTAAACAGGGGCTTCAGGCTAGGGTTTATGAGATTTATACTAAACAGGGGCTTCAGGCTAGGGTTTATGGGAATTATACTAAACAGGGGCTTCAGGCTAGGGTTTATGAGATTTATACTAAACAGGGGCTTCAGGCTAGGGTTTATGGGATTTATACTAAACAGGGGCTTCAGGCTAGGGTTTATGGGAATTATACTAAACAGGGGCTTCAGGCTAGGGTTTATGGGAATTATACTAAACAGGGGCTTCAGGTCAGGGTTTATGAGATTTATACCAAACAGGGGCTTCAGGCTAGGGTTTATGGGAATTATACTAAACAGGGGCTTCAGGCTAGGGTTTATGAGAATTATACTAACCAGGGGCTTCAGGCTAGGGTTTATGGGAATTATGACCTACACATTTACCATTTCTTAAGAATGGCTAAGCTTGCCAAATTAATGGAAATATAGATGTAAACTACATGTAATATTTCATAAATTTGATTCACTGTCTGCTAATTTTTTTGTTTTTTTTAAACAAAACACATCTTCAGTACTTTTTATATCAAATCTAAATTCAAACCTGTATTTGTTTAGTTTCTTCCTTCTGTTTTTGAACCACAGATCTCATCACAGACAAGACATTTTCAAGTTTTTCAACTTCATTCAACAAGGTTTCAAAATGTTTGTTACAGTCGACCTCTTCTGCTGCAAACTGTAGATCTACAAGTGTGCGCATGCATTCTAGTCGACCATCAAAACTTTCTGCTAAATTCTCTAGTGTTGCCATGTTTACAATTACTGCTAATTATTAAATGTATACATGTATCCTGTCCATCTACTCTTTAAGGAGAATTCCAAATCCTATTATAAAATAAATTAATATAGTCATAAATTATAATAATGTTTTTTACATACATGAAATTTGTCTACATCACTGTAAAAACAAATCATTTAAGATACCAAGCTCATAATGTTGTATCCCAGATGCTCATTTCGTCTACAAAAGACTCATTAGTGAAGATCCAATAAAAAAGTTAAAAGGCCAAATAAAGTAAGAAGTTGAAAAGCATGGAGGACCAAAAATTACGAAAGGTTTGACCAAATTCATCCACAGTTATCTATTATAACCTGGGGTAGAAAATCTTATAAATTTAAACGTTTGTGCACACAAGATGAAAGGGGGTGATTCACTCTGAAATATGTCTCTGTATATTCTATTACTAGTAATATCATATGACAGAGACTAAAATCAAAGTTCTATCACCTTCAATAATCAGAAAACTCTCTCAAGTTTTTCTAAGATTTACTCGTCAACACAAGCAAGTGTGATTTTTAACTGAATCATATATTGTTTACTGTAAACTTTCAGAAAAATTAAAAGTCGATAAAATAATAACAAAGGAGTAAAAGCAATAAGAATCAAAATGAGACAAGATGTATTGATGATATAAGCAATTTCTGCTACATATATGTAGATGTGTAAATCATCTTCATATGATTAAAAAAATAAGTTGATAATTCAGATATTTCTGAACATGCTGAATGCATTTATTATGGCGATTGTTCAACAATGGTAAATAATACTAGATTAATTTTATTATTTCAGAAAATGCTGCATACAAAAATGCCGTCAAAATGATTAAAAATTAGTTTTCATTTGTGCAAAACATATCCTGTTCCAACTTCAGAATATTCAAAATATCTCAAAAATTTATGAATTTAAAAAATATCAAGTAGCAAGTGTAGAGCCATGCACATGACAAAACCATTCACAATGTCAGATTGGTGATAGCAGGCATGCATGGCATGAAGGACAATTAAGGATGTGAAAAGAATGTCAGATACTAACTTCCTTTATTATACATGATGAAGCATGATAAAACAATCTCAAATGTAAGAATACAACTTGAACTCAGGGAGCTAGAACAAGGATGATTTAATTTAATCATCTCTAAAATAACCAAAGGTTGGTATATATAAATACATTTCTCTTATGGTTGTGGCCTGTTATCTATTTTCCACATGAAGAAATATCCATTATACTGAACGGAGTGTGATATGAATAAGTGATGTGAAAAATGCTTTGATTTGGTTGGCCTATCCTGCACTGTGTTACGAAACTGCTAAATTTCCATTACCTGTTTGTTAGGTCAATGATGACTTTCAAATACAGGTCACTTTGGAAGATGGTTACATATGGAATTCAATATTTATGCTTTATTAATTTTAACTGTTGCTGTCCCTTCCGAAGACTAAAACAACCATTCTATTTATGTTAGTCAGAGGTAAGTTCATACAAATGCTTCTTATTTACATTTTGTACTTGTACAGTGGTAAATTATTTTGGAGTCTTAGACATTCAATTTTATTTACTTATATATACAAGTAAAAAGTCATATTTTATTCTTTTCTTGAATTTCTCTTTACTACATACATTGCTGTAATCAAGTTTTAAATCGTCTGTCATTAATAACTTTGTATTCACTCTTCATAAAAGTAAAATTTGATGGACAATGAAAATCTCATTTTTCTGTTATCTTCAAAATACTATTCATTTACAAGCCTCCAGGGTCAATTTTTGAAGGCCTTGCACGGATGATGGTTACTAATAGTGTACAATGGCTTTCTTTCTTTAGTACTATATATATATATATATATATATATATATATATACATTATGTAGTTCTTACAATAAAATGTTGACCTATAATTAAAAAAAAATATTAACCATTAAGATAAAAAACCAAAAAATAGGCATGTTTTAACCTCACAAGGGTTAGTAAAAGATTATGAGAAGATTATAATTCAAACATTGAAAAAAAATCAAAATCTTACTAATTAACTTTTACAAGTACAAAAATGTAAATATTACTTGCATTTTCTACATGTTCTAGTAAATAAACATGACTTGTACATTGTTGAATATGTGTTAATCTGAACGATGTCACATTGCGGATATGATCAAATCGGGTACATTGTAATGTGCAATACCACTGGACATATAGAGTCAGGGGATTCCGCTGTGTAAACAATGTACTTATTATACAACAACAAAAAATCAATATGGGCAAACAGACCAAGGGTGAAAACCATGCAAAAAATTGCAGGCAAAGAGATTTAGCTGTTTTATAAACCAGGTGCCTAGTGACTAGAATTCAATGGGCTACTCCAGAAATAGTGAAACTGGGTCTGTTTGCCCCCATTCACATTCGCACCCTTTTTAATTATTGGTTTTGTGTTGAATAATTTTTTTAATCGTGTTTTAGTTAATGTATTAATATAAATAATTCAGGACGAGAACATGTTAATGTAATATGAATATGAACTCTGCTTTGTACTAGACCGACACACTGAGCCGGATTTTTAACGTGCTAGTTCACAAAGTACCAGTCCGCAGGAAGACTATCACCTTACCAGAACACATTATTCTGACTCCAAGCCGACCAGTCTTTGCTCTTACTCCTTTATGCCGCGTGCTTGGCGGAGAAGCAGCAAATACCAATATTAAAGTCTTTGGTTTGACTCCAAATGACTCGGCAGCAGACTACACGAAATTCGTCGGACCGTCGGACAAATCCGGTGAATAATGGATCGGTCTGGTAAAATTTTGTTGAATTCCGGTCCGAATGTCCAGTGGTGTTTTTTTTCATGGATTTTTCTAGCATTCTAGCAAAATTCCCAAATGATCTCAAAATTCATTTTCATCTTTATTATTTATGACAGCGATTTATTTTATTCAACCGCTAGCTATATGCCGAAAATCGCCAACAAGTAATGTGTAAATCCGAGTAAAAACATATATGACTGACAAAAACAACAATGGCTGCCATCAACCGGAAATATAGACAATACCGGATCAGATTCCGGGAACAGATAAGGCCAATTCCGGGTTTGCTGATCAAATACAATAAATAAATAAAAAAAAATCCAAGCAGGTTCACAAAATACAGCTATGAAATATAAACACTAGAATTGAAAACCAAAACATATATAAAAAAGAAAGAAGATACAGGAAATATTTTATACAGAAACTCTAAATTATTTTTAGTTCACAAATAATTTTCATGTCAAAATCCAATAAAATGTGACATTACTTTTCTTTATCACTGAAATGCATTCAAGCAATTGTGCACAACTTTCATCAAAATATACACTCTTGTCACATGATTTTGTTTTTGTGCATTTTGGAGAGGAGTAGGGCACAACAAGTCATAAGTTTGTTGTATTTTGTCGGATAATATACAGTCAGGGGTACTACTTGTACAAGTAATTTTTATTTACTTGAAGAAGTAATATAAATATACTTATATAAGTAAATTTGTAGGATACTTATACAAGTGTACTTTATTTACTTGTATAGGTAAAAAAAAAATTGGGCTTAGTTATGTCCCTTAGACATTCAGATTTTTTTACTTGTACAAGTAAAAAAGTCATCCTATCTTCTTTTCTTGAATTCTTAGGACTTCTTTGCTCTAATAGAATTTTTAATTGTCTGTCCTTTGCAGATGTCTTTACTAATCATTTAAGTGTAATTTCATGGACAATGAAAATCTCATTTGTCTGTTATCTTCAGAACACTGCTCATTTACAAGCCCCCAAGGGGCAATTTTTGAAGGCCTTGCGCAAATACTTAAGATCTTTGCGCAATCAGTTTCTTTGTTGAATTAATGAGATGAAACATTGAACTCTAATAAAAAATTATGAGCTAACCTGAGAAAAATTGTTAAAGGCATGTTTTTACATCTCAAAACTAGAGAATTTTTGTGGGATTGTAAAAAAAATTTACTTATACAAGTAAATTTTTTAGAAAATTAAGGGGAGATTATTCAAACATTATAATTAACTTATACAAGTATATTTTATTTACTTCTTCAAGTAAATAAAGATTACTTGTACAAGTAGTACCCCTGACTGATATACAATTAGATGTAAAATAAAAATGGTCTGGTAAAATTTCATTCGGTCTGGTAATGCTAGGTTGTTTACCAGACCGAATGTCCTGTAAAAATAAAATTCATTCGTGTAGTCTGCTCGGCAGGTGTTTGAACCCACGACCTCCCGCACTCGATGCGAACACGCTACCACAAATTTTTATTCATAGAAATATAAATATTTTGATATATACATATAAAGAAAAAAGGAAGGGGGCAAACTTGTATTAGGAGCAGGCTGATACCAGAAAAACATGTAGTCTGTACCCCCCTCCTTTTTAATACATCTTATCGCTATTTAGTCCAATCCGTAAAAAACGGTCATTTAGACAACTTCCTGTTTGGGTCAACAGGATAAACAACAAAGGTCATCTGTAACGAGCTGAGGGAGGGAAAAATTTAGAAAGCTATCAATAGCAAACTTTGATAGATTATGATCCACTAGTACTTTTTCAAAACTCAAATTATTAAATTATAGTCAACAAAATATTTTGCTTGAAGTATTTACGATGTTTTAAACAGGTCTCATTAAAAAGTATCATGCATGGTGCATTGTTTAAACAGGGCTCCAGATAGCTTCAAATGAATGAAAAAGTTATGTAATTTTAGAACTTATCCGGAATGGAATAAATAGCGATTAGGTGTATGAAGACAGTTATTGTGCTCTCAAACCCTCTGCCTCTGGAAAATGTAGTTTTCCATATCATTTTGGTTTCAATTTTGTTTTTTGTTGGTTAGGTGGAATGTCCAAACATTTTTGTAGTATCTAAAGAATGTATCCTACATTGTAGAATAAAATAATTTGGACATGTTAATTGGTATATCTTCCATTGGCATTGGAATCTGGATTTTAGGGAGAAAATGGTTGAGGAGCCTCAGATGGAGTGCTGACAACTAATTCCCATGAATCTATAAAACATGACCACTTACTACTTGATATGATGTATCATTTTCAAAGTGTTGGTTCTGGGAACAGGGGAAGTACATGTAGTTCAGTCTTATCCCTTCAAACAGTTCAAATGTTCCGCCAAACCTTTCCGGTTTTATTGGAATAGCTAAATTAAATGTACGAACCCTGACATATAAATCAATTTCTAATATTTGTTTGTTATAAAATATTGTGCAGTTAATTTTAATGCGACTAACTTGTTTTTCCATGATTACAATTAAATGAAATATTTGCACAAAAGCTTCACATATCATTATTAACATATATTTATGTTATCGGGATTGGAACATCATTTTTTAATGTTGTTGGGGACGTCACTTCCTGGATACGTAAATACCGTAAATACTGTGGCCATGATTGAAGACAAACCAGCTCTATAACATCTAAATTTTTGTCAATAACGTTGCAGATAAACCATTCAAAATGATGATTACAAAACATGTTCGCAGGACTCGTGAATTTACGGGTCCTACGCCATCGTCAGTTGCAATTGTGAGTATACATTTACAATATCAAACAGTTTATATAATATATATATCTATATTGCAATCCCTCTTTGGAATTGATACACAATATATTTCTCTTACATTGGATCTTGCACTCAGTGGCTCATACAGGAAATAATAATATGGACCATTTTCAGAAGAAATGGTGTTGCATTTTTTATGGGAACACCAATGTTTTGGACATATGTCATTAATGAGACAATGTAATTTATGAGAACAGAAATTGAATTTCTTAATTTTTTTCAATGGTATTGACTATTGAATTTTGGAAAAATGTATCATTGGGTAACTGACAAGGGATTAATTCCCCAAAACCAACAGGGCCTCAATCATCAAAATGGAACATCAAAAGAAAAAACCCAGATAAAACTCATAAAAAATTAAAAGTTTTCAAATAACTGGGTTGGTATATACTAAACCCTATACAGCTGAAAAGGTCAATGGTTATGCTCTTGGCGATATGCAAGCCGTTCTTGAAGGAACAAACCATCTAATACATACTGGGAGTAAGTTTTCTGGAGCTTTCTTTTTCAATGAATTAGGCAGTGTCCAATAAATGAATATAACAACTACTTTAATTATTATTTTATTAAAGTTTATCACTTAAAAAACAATGCAACCAAAACAGTAATGAAAATCCACCTCTCCCTTCTCTCTTTTTCCTCTTCAAAATTCTGGGAGACTGCTTTACTCTTCTTATATAATATACATGTACATGTAGTATGGTCTCTTCATTAAAATAGGGTCACTCTGGATAACATTTTTTTTTTTAATTTAGGGCATCTATCTTATGTCTTACACACTTTTATTCTAAATATCTTCCTCCATAAGGACTTTTTCCACAAATTTGCTTGATGAGGAACAATGTGACTGTTCATAGAAATAAGAAGATGTTGTATGAGTGCCAATGAGACAACTCTCCATCCAAGTCACAATGTGTAAAAAGTATACAATTATAGGTCAAATACCGCCTTCGCAGTGCCTTGGCTCACACCGAAAAGCAAGCTACATGTATAAAGGGCCCAAAATAACTAGTGTAAAACAATTCAAACAGGAAAACTAACGGTCTAATCTATATAAAACCGAGAAAGGAGAAACACTTAAGAACCACATCAACAAACGACAACCATTGAAACTGGTTCCTGACTAAGGACAGGTGCAAACAAATGCAGTGGGTTTAAACATTTTAAAAGGCGCCAACCTTCACTCTAACTTGAAATAGTAGTGTAACATTACAACATAGAAAGACACACTATAAAATATCAATTGAAATGGCTTAACTCAATCAAAAAAACACATTAACAAAAACAAGTAAACATGCACTGAAGGAATAAATTTGATCTACATGTATGACACAATGTCAAAAAGACTATAACCTTGGACAAAATGGTGTTAAATAAAATAACGTACACAGGTAAATTTAAATATAATGATTTTGTTGTTAGTACGGAGATATTTTTTACAAAATACATAAACATGCCTTCTAGTACTGTAATTTCATTTAAAAAATTGTAACACAAAATATTATTGATGAAATGGAATGACCCATATAAGTATTAAAAATAATATCTTAAGTTACATGTACTGTAGAACGATTACTAGATATATCCTTTAAAAACTGTTTGATTTTGATTTATTTTTTTTTTCATGAAAAATGACATCTCAATTTATTTACAGATGGCAAGACCGCCAAACAAAAGACCACCAGAGTATTTGATTTTAGAAAGAAGGAAAAAAGAAGACAAATTAGCAGCCTACTCAAAGAATATGGAAAATATGGAATTCAATGACATAAAAAATGAATGGGAAAGAACAACAGACAGAAAACTAAAACTAAATGCGACTAGAAGAAGAGTGGAAGGTCTTATCCAGGCTAATCATTTCACTGTTGAAGACAGAAGAGACAAGTATGTTTTAAACTTTTCCAGTTAAGACATTGTGTTAACTTTACCATTGAGACAGCAACACAAAATTAACATAGACATCTTCAGGTCAACATACATGTATGTCTAGCCTTAAATCATCCCAGTTTTTTTCTAGAAGTATTTTTTGATGTATTTTGTTGCACTGTTATAGTCTCATGGAAGTATATCCTGTTTTTTCCTTTTATTCATATGATTACGTAATAAAATTAAGCTGTAACTATTGAATTTATTAAGGGTTTGTTTTTAATGATGCTTTTGAGAATACTACACTTTGTTTTGAAAAGACCATGCCAGATGCCAATTATTGCATCAAACTAGACAGGTGATTCAGTGTCCCATAAAGAATTTTGATTTTTTTTAAATGAAGATTTCTGCTGTCATGATTATTAAGTCTCCCACACAAAGTTTTGAGACATTGTTTTTTTTTCTAGTTTCTTATTAAGTCACCCAAACCAAAGGTTTATTGGTGTATTGTGTTTGTCTCGTTTCTTCTTTTTTTATTATTATTTTAATCTATCCTTCATATAGTCTTTGTAAAATGTCATTAAAAATGCAATTAAGTAACTTACTGCTGTTACTGGTATCTACCAATCCTTATTTTTTTAAAAGAAGGTACATGTAGCAAGTATTTTTTAATTTGTTTGGCCTATGTGCCCTATTTTACTAGGATTGCACAAATTTCTAATATTGTCAATATTTTTGGCATCCCAGTGATGTCATAAACATCATAATTGGTACATGCACATGTATATAAAGAAACCAAAAATTTTCGTTCTGTATGTTTTACCAAAGAGATTCGCTAATTAAACATCCTCCATGTCACCAAAATATCTTTTGGAAACTAATGCTGTTACCTAAGAGAAGATGTTAAAATAAAATGAGATGGCAATTATTTCATATACATGTAATTTTTTATTGTTTAAATTCTATAATTGTTTTGCTGTTTCTTCAGAAAATCATTAAGTTGTTGACCTAACTGCATATATGTAAAACAAAATATAGTTAAATATATATCTTTTATGAGCATGAGATTACTGGTGATTTTAATTGGTCTTTATTTTTTAATTACCATCTTCAATTATTTATTAGACTGAGAAGTTTGTTAAGACAAGAGGAACAAATGTACCTAAGAGAAATGGATGCAAAGGAAGAAACTGTGCTGGAAAGACAGGCAAAAATGAGAGAACGAGCCAAGTTCCTAAAAGATAGGAGAGAGGATGAAAGACTACAATATGTACAGGAAAAATATGACCAACAGTTCAGGTAATTTTAACTCATTTTTTATGTGTGTGTATTTCAACTGTCAATCGAGTGAAAATTGTAAGATGACTTTTTCCTGCTCAACATAACATGGTGACACTTTCTGTTGACAGTTGATTTGCATTTCCATCTCATACACTTAGTACAAGTAGTAATAGTATTAAAATTACAAGCAAGTAGAATATTCTGAAAAAAATATTAACTGAAATCTTACAGATTGAACTTTCAGTGTTATATTTTCATGAAGGATTCAAGGCTGGGAAAGGGCAAATGTAAAAAATTCAGCAATGAAAATTTAATATTGCTTAACCAGGTTTTTTGTTTGTTTAATAGATCATTTAAAAAAATGATATGAAGAAATGTCTTATTAATGTTACATGATTTAATACATATAAATTTAAACCTTCATTATTCAGAGTTCTAATTGACATTATATTAAAAATTCATTTTTTTCTACTTCATTTCTACAACCGTCAGCTTTTTATTTATAAATTATTGTTTTTCCAGAGATCAATGTGAAGAACTGCGATCAACATTATCTAAACGCCAACAAGATGAAGTGTGCGTGGAAAGATTAGAACAACTAAGAGTGAAGGATGAATTAGACCAAGCCAAGAGAGTTGAGGAAGAAATGTATGCCAAATTATGGGAAGAAGATAGACTTGCTAAAGCTGCAAGAGAGGAGAGGGATGCTAAGGCAACTTACGAAAGAAATCAAGAAGTACTTAAGGTAATGATTAACGATTATGAACATCATATAATATATTTTACCTTGGTAGCTGTATTTCAAAATGCCATGAGTCAATGTGATTAAGAAAAAAAATTCAAAATTCTTAGAATTCACAATTGTTCTCAAAATTTACAACCAACCAAGTAGATTGTTGTTAAAAATATCAGTAATGGGAGATAACCCAAGATAAATTATTACTTTTGTGTTAAAATATTACTTTTCCCTAGTGAATGTAGTTTAAGGTTTTATCTACTAATATTTATATTGAAAGGTGCTCAGATTACAAATGGCAGCTTTGGAAGAAAAGAAAGAAGAAGAAAAACGTCTCAAACAAGAAGAAAGACAACTTCTTCTTGAGCAAGAAATGTTACGTAAGATTGAGGAACAGAGAGCATGGGAAGATAAGGTCCGTCAACAGAATGAGACAAGAGATATGTTAGATATGTCTCTACAACTCAAGATGAAAAAGAAGGCCAAATTAGAACAAGAACAATTAGCATTTGATTTGAAGATTCTTGAACAGTTATTAGAGGAGTCCAGGAATGAGGCATTGGAACAACTACAGAAAAAGGTATTTCATTTTACACATTATGCAGACAGTAAAAGATTTGGTTCAGTATTTTTTAAGTTCAAGTTAAAACCACCATATGTATTAAGTAACTTCTCTACAGCATAACAACTTCAATGTTTTTTGCCAAATCTTGTTTAAAAACAATCTGATATTTGCTTATCCTTTTTTAAATGAAAACATAAGAAAAACGTTATATTTATTTAAACTTTGGCAATCATTACCTGAAATATAAACTGCCAATGTTTTTTATTATTGAGTCAAAATGCAGAGGGGAAAAAACTATTTAAACTTATTTCACTGAAACTTACATTATTATCATTTTCAATTTAAACAGAAAGAAATGCGTGAGGAAGATAGAAGATACCGTGAATATCTCAGACAGCTTAAGGAGGAAGAAATGGTGAAGGAGATTGAACTAGAACGATTGATTCATGAGGAAGTAGAAAAGATGTGGCAGAAACGTTTGAATCAATGGAAACTTGAAAGAGAGGCTCGTAAAAAGTTATTAGCTGATGTACTGCAGGGACGTGCTATACAGCTACAAGAGAGATGTAAGATAACAATAGATTTTGCATGATTAGTTGCAATACATGTACATGAAGTTAATAAAGTTTCCTTATTGCTCTTTGACATAGTATTTAATGTTAATGCCTTAAGTAAGCCATCTGTAGACCAAAATGAAGCTTTGATGAGAAATTACTCATGACCGTATAGTAAGACGCATTAGATAGTATCTAAATATATACACATAAATGATTATGAAATCAGACAGTCTGGTCCAAATGCAGGACAACAGCTTAAAAATTGGTTTAAACTTTGAAGATGTCAAAGCATTATAAAAACCTTCTTTGATTGCTAATCTTAAAAATTATCTGGATTAAAAAAAATGCAATATGAAATTAGAAAAGATTTGGTGCATTAACTTAACCAAAAATTCATTGAAAAGCTAGAAAATAACCCAAGCGGTGTTTTTTGTTGTTTGTCTTTGTTTGTTTGTGAGTTATTTGTTAATGATTGATGTGGTCATTGTACTTTGTGTTATTTTTGGTGACCCCTTTTATCCCTGTGTATGATCAATTCATCAAATCAACATCTATATGTGACTCCTGTTCTTTTTGGTGATCCCTTTTATCCCTGTGTATGTACCATTCATCAATTTAGAGCTTTTGTCTCTTAGTCTGAGCATGCTTGACAAAAATTAATTAAGAAAAGGTCTTTGGTGGCCTTCGGCTGTTGTCTGCTCTTTGGTCGGGTTGTTGTCTCTTTGACATATTCCCCATTTCCATTCTCAATTTTACTTTGAAGGCAACATACTTTACATGGGTAATTTAAAGTTACAACTTTCAGACAAAGCTTAAATGATTTAGTTCTATTCATACATTCATAGTTATGTTTTTCTATTTAGTTCTTTGTGATTTTGATGTATTATTAAATATTAACGTTTCTGTAATCTTTCTTGCTGTAAACATGGTTCATAAATAATTGTTTGATCTCTATTTCAGTGATGGAAAATGAGAAGAAACAAGCAGTAGCTGAAAGAGAAAGAGTAGAACTATTAAGGACAATCGAAGAAAACAAAAAATATGAATATGAACAAATGGAGAAAAATTGGCACAAAAATCGTCAATACCAAAATGATCTATCTGGTCAAATAGATTATAATCACAGACTTAGACAACAAGACTTTGAAAGAGATGAGGCCGAATATAGATTAGGAATGCAGGCTGAATTTGAATATCAACAAAGACTTAAATCTTGTCTTGATAATCCTGAAGTTGATCGACCTCATCCAATGAGACGAGCAATGATGCAACGTAGCGCTCATCGTTAAATGGATTAAAAAAATGGCTGAATCAAACTTTTTTAACTTTGTTATGAATTAAGACTCAGTATTGAATAAGTCACAGATTTGCTGATGAGTTAAACTAAAAAATAGACTTCTAATAATAAAATATATTGATTATAGCCATACATCAGAATTTTCTGGTTGAATGTGTAATGGAGACATAATTATGATGTTATTGCATATAATTAAGTATTAAGCTAGAAAATTTCCCCTAAAAAGAAAATATAATACTAAAAAAAAAACTGATAGAGCAAGTTGTAATGATGAAACATAAGCATATATAAAATATGAAGTAATTTTATGAAGAGAAAAGAAGTTGAATATATATGGGAGATGACTCTTCATTTCTTTTTAAAAAAATGATTATTTATTCTACAGGATAAAGTGAATGTTCTTTTTTAATGAACAATAAGGTCACAGTTTATAGTTAAACAAAAATGCATGAAATAAAAGAGATTTCTATTTTTAAATTTGCATAATTTATTAAGCTATCAGAATTCTTAATCCAAGTTTAAATGCCAAGACCTTTTTAAATTCTAAGAATGTGTTATCACTGTATTGTGTATTTAACCTTCATAATGTTTCATCATTGATTGTGAGAATTCAAGGTCATGTTTTTTTTTAATTCGTGGTTGTGATGAACCATAGAGCTCAATTTAGATGTGCATTTCATCTTTTAAAAGATCATCATGATCATAATTATGCATGGTCGTTTATTTGTTATATAATACATGTTATATATTTTTTATCTGTGATATTTTCTTAGTACTAAAACCAAAAACTTCACCAATCAAATGTTCATACGAAGAAGTTAATTATTTACTGTGAACTTTTGCTACTTATTTAATAATCAACTTTTCCAGCCATATCTGCCATTGGTAAGGCATTTGCATACTTAAATATTTCATAGTATGAAAACAAATGAAATCTACCTCAGGCATTATAAAAAAACTGAAAAAGCTGTGATGCAATATGAAACATATTTTATCTGATTAATCTGTGCTTGATTATCAACTGTTATTATGGTCTATTGCAATTACATTGTAAATATTTCTTAACCAAAAATTTAGAAAAATTTATAAAATAGTGTATCAGTAGTAATGAAGTGAATTGGTTCTTAGCACTATCTATCTATTATTGTAAAAAAAACTTATGTACATTGTATAAATATGTATTTAAAATGTACAGAAAACGTACTGTAATATAAATAATCACTTTGAAGTATTTTTCTTATCATTTATTGACAAACAATTGCTGCTCAACATATTTATTGTTGTGAAGTATTAATCTGTGGGCTCATTTACATTCGTTAAAACCAATTTTTATGTATTGAGAAAACAATTTTTCATATGTACTTGATTTCATGGGTTTGACAAATTTTACATACCACCCATTAGGACATTTGCACTTTATTGAATGTTTAAATTTGTGGTTCATCTGTACCCACAAAATCTACAAAAATTAATACCCCAGTAATAATAATGAATCCACAGTAAATAAAGGGGGATAAGATACCATTGAGGTATCCAAAAATCATAAGTAAAAGACAAACAGACAACACCATGTGCAAAAGAAAACACTGAAAAGACAAGCAACAGTCTACATAACACTACACAGAAAACTAAAGATTGAAAAATGTATAATACCAATGTCAATGTGCAGAAACACCTCGAAATCTATTATTAGGTACAGTCAAGACCAAATGTTTGAGAAATCAATCATTAAAACAGTAGGAAACATCAACCAGAGGAGTTACAGAACACCAAAATCAAGCTAGATCAACTTTACTTTTAGAAGGTCTCAACCTTGATTAAGTGCAATTAGATAGTTAACAAACTAAAAAAATGTCTATATTACTCATAAATGTATTTCAACTGACCAACAAAAAGCCCACAATAGACATCTGAAGGTCAATATCTGATCTTAAATAATACAGAAGGGTCTTTACGATATGTCGAGCTCTAAATAACCCCAAGGATGAATGGTAAATACAAAATATAGTTACTCTTGGTCTTCTTTTGACTGGCAGTAAAACCCTAACTGACGTTTGGTTGGTTGTCCCACATGTATAAATTTGCAGCCACATCCAGTCAGAATGAGGACGCTAAATCTGATACCTGGTGTAGAGTTTGTTTTCACCCTAATCATGCATGAAATATTTGCCATTGGAAGTTAAGTCACCAAACAGAGTCTTGCAAAGATTCCATATCAACATCATGTTTTTGAAAGAACAACATGCACAGATATAGCTCAGGACAACACTTCTTTCAGACTGGTACATTAACATGTATTGGAGTTAAACAGATTCACATTCAATAATTTTTGTTGCTGCATGTTGATCAATGATCAATCAACCTGTATATTTTTAAAATATCATTACTAAATTTTTCAACAATACTTAATTCTAAAAGAAGGAAAATAATTTTATCACCAAACATATAAGATTTGTACTGTAAACCACATACAGATCTAGAGAGAGTAACCAACTAAATGTCCTGATGAAATACCCCTTACTAGAGTGAAACTAATATGATTAGAAGAAGGTATGAGGTATTGACCACTGAAATAGTATCCAAAAGGACACAAAAATTAACAGACACTAGTGGTCAATACATAATCTTCAACAATAGACAGTGAATATACCAATTGTCATTGTAACAATGCAATATTTGCCACTGGACATAATTAAATACCAATTCATCCATTAATATGTCAACTTTTAAATCACCTAGAGGATTGAAAAGATGTGAATAAATTTGAACTGACATAATCAAAGATGTCCATCTTACAATCATTCCATACACCAAATATTAGTTTTCATATTGCTTATAGTTTCTGAAAAGGGCACCAAACCACAAAAACTTAACATGGATAAATGAACCATGAACATTATCTTTATATTATTGTATTCAGGAGACAGGCTAAAACACAAAAAGTTAACATTGATCAATGAACCATGAAAATGAGGTCAAGGTCAAATGAAACCTGCCAGACAGACCAGTACACCTTGCAATCATTCCATATACCAAATATAGTTTAATTTAATACTGATCACAGTATCTGAGATATGGACTTCAATACGAAAACTTAACCTTGATCACTGATCCATGAAATGAGGATGAGGCCAGGTGAACCCAACTGACGGACAAGTAGATTTTCCCAGGTGAACCCAACTGACGGACAAGTAGATTTTCCCAGGACCCTATATTCCAAATATAGTTATCCTGCTACTCATAAAACCAGGTATTCACATTTCAAAATAAATGGGGAATGTGTCCATTGGACACAGATGATGCCCCTGCTTGCATATCATATAAAGTTATAAAGGGACATAACTGAAGAACGGTTAAAGTGACACTACCCAAATGTGTACTTGATCTGAGTTTTGTGGTAATAAATATTGTGTATAAGTTTCATAATATTTGGTTGAGGATAACTTAAGTTAGAGAAAGGAAACGAAAAATTCAGCAATTTTTCCATTTGTACAGGGGCATAACTAAAAGTGACACCACCAAAATTCAAACTTGATCTGTATTTTGTGGTTATAAGCATTGTGTATAATTTTCATTACATTTGGTTGAGGCAAACTAAAGTTAAGAGAACAGAAACCAACTTTGGGACGTACGTATGTATATACGGACTGATGTACAGACGGACAAGGGTAAAACTTAATGCCACCTCCACTACGGCGTTGCATAAAAATAGTTTTTGTGTTGCCTGCCACGAAAGTCAAAGCATGCAAGACAGCTATTACTATTCAGGGACAGCAGTGTGTACTTTTTAGCTCACCGTTCCGAAGGAACGGTGAGCTTTTGCCATCACTTGGTGTCCGTCGTCGTCCGTCTGGTGTAAACTATTTCAAACATCTTCTCCTTTGAAACTACTAAACCAATTCCAACCAAACTTAAGCTGAATGATGCTTAGGGTATCTAGAATAAAGTGTGTGTTTTATTTACTATTTCGTCAAATAAAATGGCCGCCATGGCTAAAAATAGAACATAGGGGTAAAATGCAGTTTTTGGCTTATATATCTCAAAAACCAAAGCATTTAGAGCAAATCTCACAGGGGTTAAAGTGTTCATTAGGTGAAGTTCTATCAGCCCTGAAATTTTCTGTTGAATTTGATAACCCATTGTTGGATTGCTGCCACTAAATTGGTAATTTTAAGGAAATTTTTGCAGATTTTGGTTATTAAACATGGCCGCCATGGCTAAAAATAGAACGTAGGGGTAAAATGCAATTTTTGGCTTATATCTCAAAAACCAAAGCATTTAAATTTAGAGATAATCTGATGCGAGGTACAAAAAACATTTCAACGGAAGTTTTAAGCCATTCATTAATATATATTGAAAAGCAAAATTATTCATTGCTGAAAGATTTAAGCAAAAAGTTACAGGTGAGCGATTCAAACTCTTGAGAGCCTCTTGCTGTATTAAGCTTTATATTTAAGAAGGTAGAAGACCTGGATGCTTCATACCTTGTATGCAGATACCTTATGTTACAAAGTTTCTGTCTGTCCTATTTGCATTTTTCATGGTGACTGTTTGAAAAAAATTATAGTTTTTTTGTCATGTTAATTTCTCATTTTTATGAGTAATAGGAACCATATCTAGTATATGAATTTGTTGCAACGTCTAGATTTTCATTAGACAGGGTTCAACCGACCTCAACCTCATTTCATGGATCAGTGATCAAGGTTAAAGTTATGTGAAAAGTTCCATTTCTCAGATACTATAAACAGTAGGTCAACTATATTGTGATGTATGAAATGATTGTAAGGGTTAAAGGTTAGCTGGTAGGATTCATCTGACCATCACCTCTTTTTCATGGTTCATTGGTCATTGTTAGGTTTTTATGTTTTGGTCTATTTGTCAAGTACAATGAGCAATAGGTCAAGTATATTTGGTGTGTGGAATGATTGTAAGTTGTACATGTTTGTCTGTCAGGTATAATCGGACTTTGTCCTCATTTTCATGCTTTTCTGGTCAATGTTAAGTTTTTGTGTTTTGGTCTGTTTTCAAATTACCATAAGTAATAGGTCAACTATATTTGGTGTATGGAATAATTGTGAGGTGTGCATGTCTTTCTTACAAGATTTATCTGGCCTTGACCTAATTGTCGTGGATCTTTTAAAATATTAAACTTATGGGATACTTGTGGTAAAACCTTTATCTTTAAAACTTTTAACATAAAAGCAATGGTCAGTAAAGCAGGAAAGACATTTCAGCTTGTGCACTTTTGTTTTAAGCAGACCCTGAACCAGGAAAATGAGGTCAAAGACAAATAACATTTGACAGACAGAAACTTCATACATAATGCAACTGTATAAATAAGTATTCTATCCCTGAAATATAAAGCTTTAAGCAAAGAGTTTACAACACTGCCACTGGATTGTAATCCCTATGTCTCACTTTCATGGTATGCCAAACAAAAATGGTTAATGTTATAAAACTCCCAGAAGAATTGTCAAATCACAATGGTTCATAGTCTACTGAACTACACAGAAAGACATATAGCCCTTTATAGCATACTGTTCGGTGTGAGCCAAGGCTCTGCGTTGAAGGCCGTACTTAGACCTATAATTGTTTACTTTTTACACATTGTTACTTGGATGGAGAGTTGTCTCATTGGCACCCATACTACATCTTCTTATTTCTATAGCTTCCTTAAAGTATTAAAGCTTTCTGGTAAACGGTCTTAAAATGGATATGCTGAGATTGCAAAGTGTCATTGTGTTAACAATGGTCAAAGTCCCTCAACTCCTCAGGAATTGTCAAATCAAAATGATAATTGAGTATGATCAACAACAGATGATGACAAACAATACTAGCAAGTATTAAAGTCCCATGAAAGCTCTTTTTCATGCATTATCCAACAATAATGGTCAAATCAGAAAGACATTTAAGTATGGTCAACTCCACTTCATGAAAAACAATTATACAAAGTATCATAGCTTTATGTTAAATGGTCCTAGACAAGTTGAGTTCACAAAATGTCACAAGTAAAAAAAAATACGGTCAAATCCCCTGAACTTCTGCAAGAGTTGTTAAATAAAAATTCATTAAAAAACAAATGCCATTTAATCTGATCATGAAGAATCTGTCCAAGTTTCATAACATTCCATTAAGTTTAAATAAAGTTATTGATATCTGAAAAATATAGTGTCTTTCAGATGGACAAAGACTATTACTATGTCCCTGCAGCACATTCAGTATGGATTAACAAGGCATTCTTGTCAAAATATATACCATTAAAATTTAACAGTTCAGTAATACAAACCCAACTCTGTTTTGTTAGCAAGGCTATAAATCATCAATTTGCAAAACTTGTATTTCCCAAACAGACAAAAAACAATTTAAAATTAACAAATTTAATAAATTAAAATATCTACAAAATATATAACATCTACAAATCTATATGAAAATTTAAAAAAAATGTAATATAACACTAATAAAAACTATAAAAAATATATAAAAAAAAATGTTGTAAATTATTTATAACTAGTTAAAAAAATTAATATGTTCAGTATCTTCAATACAGAAATATACATGCAACAATTTTGGGAAACTCATCCTCTTTTTTGTCTAAATTGTAGCTAATGTCCTTTAAAATATTTAACATCTTTATTAATTTAGAAAAGTCACTATATTAACTTGAGGTGAGTGATACTATTCTTAGTATCCATTTTTGAGAAAAATGAAGATGTCTCTCTGGTTCTCGTTGGGGTTCCTGTGTCTTTGTTTAGTTTTCTTGAGTAGTATTTTGAAGCATGTTGTTTTTACATATAATAACTTATAACATAAAAATAAGTTCATGTTAACTTATTAACACATCAACTATTTTTCTTAGGAAACAACAACTACTTCTAAAATTAAGGGTGAAAATTTCTTAATAAGCTGTTAACACAGAGGCGTCTAGCCTATTTGATTGAATCACAAAATCTAGCGATTGCATGTGAGACAAAAATTGTATAAAAAATTATTTTAAAATATTTTATGAGAAATTTACAAATATGTCAAATAAAAGGCCTGTAAGGGGAAATATTAGAAAGGGCACATCCTGCACAGTGTACACATCACCAAAAACCAGAATGTACCCATAGTACACTGATGCCCCACTCGCACTATCATTTTCTATGTTCAGTGGACTGTGAAATTGTGGTAAAAACTCTAATTTGGCATTAGAAAGATCATATCATAGGGAACATGTGTTCTAAGTTTCAACTTCACTGAACTTCGACTTCATCAAAAACTACCTTGACCCAAAACTTTAACCTGAAGCGGGACAGACGGACGGAAAACATAATGCCCCTAGGTTGGGCTTTAAAATATTTATGTTTTAAATAATGTAATAAACCAATAATTGAATCCCAACACAGATACATAAATACTTCATATAAACTACAATGCTACAGGGTATATACTTTAACTATTTTATAAATGAAAGACTGATAGCACTAAATTGCACATATATAAAGCATTAAATGGAACTGAGTCACATAGCTATATTACACTTTAACAAATACAGTTTAACCTGACTAAATCAAACCCTTCATAAACTGCTAATCTGTCTAAACTGGATTCTGACATCTTACATACAAATGGTTTTCTTTAGTAATTTACAGACAGTAATAATAACATTAAACAGATAAATCAAATGACCTTTCTGACATGTAATGTTTATTCAGTGATGCTTGAGGTATAAATTTTTGTAAATCCAAAACTAAATGCAAACTAGGAACAGCTGATAAAAAAGAAAAGTTCCCAAGTATAGCTTATCTCTGAAAAAGAATCAGAGCTACGCATGAGGAAGGTGTATACCTTATTTCAAATGATTTCTTTTATAACGAAGAATATCCATATTTTTAGTTACCAAAGATGAGTAGAAGAAATTTCAAGACAAATCCATGGAAAAAGAAAATTGGTGAAAAGACAAACCATTATCCTAAACTTTTTTGAACCAAATACTGGTAAAATTTAGATATAATATCTTGGGATCCAAAAGAGTTACATTAGACAGGTTTAACTACATTATATTTATATTTCACATTATTTTGACAATATTGGACTCTTTGACTTCCTGTAAAATTTCATCAACAGTTTTCCCATCCTTCTCTTGAGATGTAAGCCATTGAATTGCCTTGTCACAAATCATACCCCATTCTGCTTTACAATGACTGAAATTGGTCTCCAGGAAAATGATCACTATTGCTGTACACCAAACACTTCCCTAAAAGTATATAAAATGTAAGCACAGATAACTCATTGAAAGAGAAAGATTAAGACATTTTCTTCTTGTTGGGTGTTCAATAAACAGTCAAAGTCAAATTCAAAACACAGGTACCAGTAGTCTACAATTAAAGAGATAGCCAAATTGGCTTTGTAAATCTCATATTATAATCAAAAAGGTTATTGAAGCATAAAATGACTATGTCTTAATAAACATACTTTTTGTCAGACAATGCTATAATCCTCTAGTATTAAACTCACCATACTTTTTTTATTCGATATGCACATACTTTCATACACAGGAACGGACTTGCATAAGGGCTTTTTACATGCCATTTAAATGTTCAAATTACAATTCTAATATAACATATACCCTTTATCAATTTAATTTCTTTTCTATTTCTTTTTAGATTGAGCTTTTATATATATATATTCTGTGATATATTCAATATAGTTAGTTATACATATGACACTGGCATGAAAAAATTTGAACAATGATATGTGCCAAAAAAACAAATATGACAGAAAGCAAACTATGACAGACAGCAAACTATGACAGCCACTTAACCATTGTTTGTTTGAAAGACTTCCTTACATCCATAAATGTTTATAAAAGTAACAGACTGACTTCATATTTGTGATGTAAACCCCAATCTCTAAGTCTAGCCTTTACACAGCAGAGATAAACTACTAGAATAAAGTAAATGCAATTGTCTATTTATATCTTAAAGTTCTGTTTTCTTACTGTAAATTGTCTGTCCCATTTGATAGATTTGCACTCTCTACTTCTGTTAATAATTCCTGTAATATCGAATCAATTACCTAAGTCCAACCATCTTTAAAATAAACAACAAAAATAGTTTCTATTTTCCGTTATTAAGAGATGACAAAGCATTACACCGTTACCTTGTATTTTGCCTTCAAATTTGTTTCTGTAGTGTTTATTATTGTAGCCAATCTTTGAGTTGGAGCCCAGGATCCGTCAAAATTTTGTTGTGATACAAGGTCCATCAATTTATCTCCTGTCGACTTATTTGATGACGGAACATCTGTATATGAGTCATCATTATCCTCTGACCCTTGCCCTTCTTGTTCTTCTTCAATCTGTACTTGTGTTTGATCTTCAGTAGCCTCTGCATATATAAAGCAGAATTATTCCCAGATTTTCTAAGTACTCAAACAAATGCATCATGCATATCCTTTATTAATCAAAATACTTGTGAGAACTGAAGGGTAACTTTCATTGTGAACAATTTTCAATTGGAGTTATCTCCCTTTGCTTATACATGTATGTGCAGTTGAACTTGGTTTTATTTTAAAGATCAATGCATAATATATATATGTTGTTTATCAAGGCAGTGACATAAAGGTTCTTATTAAATTTCTTGTAATCTATACCCCAAACACAATATTTGACTCAAACATTCTATACAAAGTTCTGGTATTTGTCATTTATGAATTTTTCAATATTTGTAAATGATACGACTTTTCTTATATTTGACAAATACTTTATAATTTTATCATAATTATTATGCATTATAAATCATAATGTGGATTATGAACCCTATAATGTTATCTAAAACTGTCATTCAGTTTTTTTTTGTCATGGAATTATCAAATATCATCAGATTTTAGATGCAACATATAATTTTTTTAAGTTTTGTTCTAACATATTCTTTTGAACCAAAATCAAAGACTATGAATACATTTTTTATACATGTGCTTGACTTCTTCATTTTATAGATTTGATTGATCCATTGTTGCTTGCTTAACATCTAGTGGCAATTATTTCATGCATATTCAGGGTGAGATGGTTTCACTGATTGATCAAATCATTCTCAAATCTTTTATTGCATGTTGACAAACAGAAGGACAACAGTTTACATAATATGTCCCGCTGATGACGGCATTTAAAATATTGAGAAGCTCCAACGAATATATGGTGAGTTGACACCCATTCATTCTGTACTTACTGCTTTTTAAGAAGCTTGGCCATGAAAAACTTGGCAAACTTGGCTGAAATACAAACATAAAATATTGATGAAAAGAAATACAGAAACAAATTACTAAAATATATATCAATTCCTTTGCACCCAAAGACAGCATTTTGTGAAATTTTCACAGGATCTTACCTATATTATGTCTTTTTTTCCTACAGTACCAGGTTCACATTATTTATTTACATAAGAAAAATAAGAATAAAATATATATCATTCACAAGAGACCAAATGACATAGAAATTAACAACTATAGGTCACCGTATGGCCTTCAACAATGAGCAAAGCCCATACCACACAGTCAGCTATAAAAGGCCCCGAAATGACAATGTAAAACAATTCAAACGAGAAAATTAACGGCCTAATTTATGTACAAAAAATGAACGAAAAACAAATATGTAACACAGAAACAAACGACAACCACTGAATTACAGGCTCCTGACTTGGGATAGGCACATACATACAGAATGTGGCAGGGTTAAACATGTTAGCGGGTTCCCAACCCTCCCCCTAACCTGGGACAGTGGTGTAACAGTACAACATAAGAACGAACTATAAAAATCAGTCGAAAGAGGCTTAACTCATCAGATGGATAAAAATACAAATACTACAAATACAAGTGGACGTGGCCGGGTACTTGTACATACAAGTCATACTGCCATTTTTTAGATCCAGTATTGGTTGTTAATTTGCTAATTTATCGTTTAAAGTTTTTTGTCCAGTGAGCACAGCAAACCAGTTCAAAAAGAGTTCATAATGTGTTGAACAACTGATATTTTACAATATAAAGATGCAGATAATCAAATAATCGATTTATCGGATTTTATATGTGTATTTGCATGTTAGAAACAAGTGTTTTCTTTGCTTCACCAGTTCAATCCAGAAGATGACGTGATTAAATCGGGTTAAACTTATCAACATCGGTTCATTCATAGATTGTGACGTTGGTGATATGTCCTGGTCAAAGTTATTAAGGCCATGTCAAAGTATTTGATGTCACAAAGCTGTGATATGCAATTTTATGACGAGCTGAAGGGAGTAATACAGACAGTGGGAACACTGATAATAACTCTTATCATACCTCCTTTGTCAAATACAGTCATTTAAGGCAATACCTTCTACAAAGAGTCATCTGACAATTAGATAGGAATTTACATGTAAGTATTTTTGCTCAGACAAATTTTCCCCATCTATAATTGTTTTTCAAGATATTAGAAAACAACTTGCATTTTTATACCTTATGTTCTATTTTCAGTAATGATGTTGATCTTGATTGATTGGCAGGGACAAAAAGTTTATACTAAATAACCTATGAACCATTTGGCTAATTGAGCTAAAAAGATAGTTAAATGACAAATGTCACTTTTCAAATAAATAAAAAGGACGATTATTTCTAAAAGAGTAAATTAATATTTTAATAGCAATTGTTAATGTCCATTTCTTACCACAAACCTTGTCCACCAAGATTGTCTCTTATGCTTTTTTGCACATGCCAAAAATGTACTTGCACCAGATGCAAGAGCTTCTGTAAATATATTAAAAAAAGTATTTCATCTTCATTAAATAAAAGAGCAGAGTTCCAATGTCCCCCGCATTGCACATATTTTATCTAGCCAAGGGCAATAACTAAAAAAAGTACTTTTTTTGTTTGTTCTTTAAAACATTTTATAAATATATGATTATTTTGTAAACGAAAATAAATTACATTTCAAACAGACCTTCAAGGGCATATTACTTATAGTATACTATAAGTTTTATAAAATCTGGCAAGAATTGTACTTGTGAGAGTGTTAATGAGGCTATTTTCCATAAATTTAATATTTCCAAGTGTTATGACTAGAAAAGTAAAAGTCCACCATTATAGAACTTGTCCAAGAAATTGCTGATATTAACCTATAGTGTAAGTTTTATAAAAATCTGGCAAGAATTGTACCTGTGAGAGCGCTAACAAGGCCATTTTCCATAAATTTAATATTTCCAAGGGGCATTACTCTTTTAAAAAAGTCGATCGTCCACCATTATAACTTGTCCGAGATATTGCTGATATTAACCTATAGAATAAGATTTATAAAAATTCTTGCAAGAATTGTACCCGTGAGAGCGCTAACGAGGCTATTTTCCATAAATTAAATATTTCCAAGGGCATAACTCTTTTAAGAAAGTCGATCGGACGGACAGACGCCCAGTATTTAAATTTCCCTGCAATGCAATTGGGACAAAAAAGTGGTAATAGCAAAGAGAACCACATTACACTACATAAATATAACTACTGTGGATTCATTTATTTTCGTGGGTACCAATTTTCGTGGTTTGAGGAAAACTTGCATATTCGTGGATATTTAATTTCGTGGTTTTGGCAAAGTCTGCATTCATTCCTTTAGAAAATTTGTAATTCGTTGAACATTTAAATTCGTGGTTCTCCTGTACCAACGAAATCAACGAAATTTGGTATCCAACGAAAATTAATGAATCCACAGTAAATCTAAAAACGCATCTCAAACTAACCAAAGTTCTGGTATGAAGCAACACTAAATGAAAAAATCAGTTTATAGTAAGAATATTTAAGTATATGAGGCAAAATCAGATGCAGGTCGAAAACACAAGCCCAAAGTTCACATGAAACTGCTTTCTTTGGCCTTTGATATCAAACGTCCAATTTAATCTTAATACTAGTGTCCACCACAAAAAGACCTTTAAAAACTTCAGGCTGTTAAATTGACATCAGACCGGATTTTCCTGCATGAAATGATATTTGCAAATCTGGACCCCAAACAAAAAAATGAATTTTTGTAGGGTTCAGAAATGGAAAGGCCAAAATCAATCTATTAGTATCATTTTTAGCTATTCAAAGGTCTACAACTCAACAACAATAAAACCTAAAGTTGTGTAACAGGAAACAACATATCTAAATTTGAAAAGATTTCGTCAAAGCAGTTTTAAGTTATTGCACCGACAACTTTCTAAGTATCACTTTTCGCTACTCAAACAACTCAACAACGATAAAAACTAAAACCATGAAAATCGAAATTGACCTTCATTTAGTCACAGGAAACAACATATCTAAATTTGAAAAGATTAATCAAAGTGTTTTCAAGTTAATTAAATGGACACTGTTTGGCAGCCACCCACTGTACAACACCAAATTAATAACAGATATTTTACCATGGAAATCCAGCTAAAAATCAAAAGTTATGTTTATGAGCTCCATAACAGCTGGTTAAAGTAAACAGAAAGAAGAAGAATTGTTTCATATTAGATAGAAATTATGACTACCCTTGGGAAATAAGTATTGACTGCAATATTAATAATATTAAGACCAGAATCTAACCATGAGAGAGGGTCTGGATGCGGTCTACAGAATAGAGAATAATGGGCCAGAACTACAGAAAAATGGTCCAAAAAAATAAAGAATACTATATAATGGGGTGCAAAAATGTAATGAATAGAAAATAATATGCAAAAAATATATAGAATAGATAAAAATGTTCCTAAATATTTCAACAATTCAGAAAATGAAGGACTTCCATCCAGACCCTCATGAAAGAACCTTGAAATGTGAATCAAAGTGTTAGTACAAATAATGACAGAATAAATGTGTTTAAATTTATAGTACAGCTGTTACTATATACTGCATTACCTGATTTGCATTCTAGATCATCAAGCATTTCACACCTATCTAAACACATGTCTATATTCGATACCATACAACGTTGTCTCTGAAAAAAAAATTACATTTTAATCACATGATTCAGCCACACTTAGTTTCATGGTTTGTGAAAAAAAAATTCTATGTTGAGATGCTATTGTAACATGGCTGTCCTTGTAGAATGTCTACGAAAGTTTAGGTGTCCTCTAAAATATCCGTCTGAGTTGTTGTGTATTAAAAGAAGTACTGTGCTACTAATTGTTTCATGCATATTTTATTCCATAGATTGCTTATGATTTTTTTAAACCACTCAATAGCCATAATGTTTATTATTGACATTCATGATTTATTCTCATATAATTTTCTTGTAAACTTTTGAAAGAAATTATACAATAAAAAAAGATCACCTAATTTGCTTCTCTTTTTTTTTTTACTTCCTACACATAATATTGTATTCACTTCTTCTTATTTGACTATGTAATTATATGTAAGTGTCATAAGAAATAAACTTAAAAACACTTAAAACTCTTTAAAAATTCACGAAGGATTCTGCAGAATCATGTATCTCTCCTGTGATTGTTGCTGACAGTGTAAAAGTGTAATGTTGATTGATAAAAACTAAGTGTATAATTAATGCCAGAAAAAGAATTCAAAACATTTTTCTTCAGATGCTCTTTCTTGATCTTGAAGAAGCTTACTTCCAACTTTAAAAATCATTCCATGAAAGGTATAAATAAGTTTGTGATGTCTTAAAAAAAGGTAATCCAAGACTGTATTTAACCATTAACTGCAGGGGACTCACACTTTATTTCATATGATTTGGTTTTTTTTGTCCCATACAAGAATATATATGGTTTAGGGGTGGGGATCTCGAACATTTACAAGTTCTTAAACAGGAGGGGGTCGGGGGTAACTCAAGGGGACTCTCCTAATATTTCATTTGATTTGTTTTATTGTCCCATACAAGAATATATATAGTTTCGGGTTGGGGATCTTGACCGTTTACAAATTCAAGAATATATATGGTTTAGGGGTGGGATCTCGACTGTTTACAAGTTATAAAAAAGAAGTGGGTTGGGGGTTACCCCCATGGACTTCCCCTATATTTCATTTGATTTGTTTTATTGTCCCATACAAGAATATATATGGTTTAGGGGTGGGGATCTTGACTGTTTACAAGTTCTTAAACAGGAGGGTGTGGGGGGTGACCCCAGGGGGCTTGCCTTATATTTCATTTGATTAGTTTTATTGTCCCATACAAGAATATATATGGTTTAGGGGTGGGGATCTCTTCCGTTTACAAGTGGGGTGGGGGTGACCCCAAGGGACTCGCCTTTTATTTCATTTGATTTGTTTTATTGTCCTATACAAGAATATATATGGTTTCGGGGTGGGGATCTTGACCGTTTACAAGTTTTCAAAAGATGGGGGATGGGGGTGACCCCCATGGACTTACCCTATATTTCATTTGATTTGTGTTATTGTCCCATACAAGAATATATATGGTTTAGGGGTGGGGATCTCGACCGTTTACAAGTTCTCAGACAGGAAGGGGTGGGGGTGACCCCAGGGGACTCGCCTTTTTATTTCATTTGATTAGATTTATTGTCCCATACAAGAATATATATGGTTTCAGGGTGGGGATCTTGACCGTTTACAAGTTTTCAAAAAGAAGGGGGGTGGGGGTGAACCCGGGGACTCCCCTAATATTTCATTTGATTTGTTTTATTGTCCCACACAAGAATATATATGGTTTAGGGGTGGGGATCTCGACTGTTTACAAGATAAAAGCACATTCTCAAATTGAAGGGGGGTGGAGGTAAGAATATATATGGTTAAGGGAGACTTAATTATCTACAACATGTCTAATAATGAACAGTAAATTTCAAACTTCATTTATACAGTCCTACTAGTAAATTTCAAACTTTATACATACAGTCCTACAGATCTTATCAGGAAACAGAAAATTTTCAAATAAATCTGTCACTCCAATTTTTATTGTGAGATAAGACATTATGCTGAGTCATAAAATGATAACAAGATAAAAATATTTTAAAATACCACTTTTGGATATTAAAAATGGCGATAACTCAAAAAGGAGAAATACTAAAATCGTGAAAATTGAACTAGATCTTCATTAAGTCACAAGAAACAACATATCTAAAATTTGAAAACAAATCATCACAGCATTTTCATGTTATTGAAGAGACACTGTTTGGCAGCCGTCACATTTTCATAAAATTCCAGGAAGGTTTGACAAAGTTATTGATGTCTGAAAAACCATAACCTGAGACTTTATCTTAATGTTTATTGTAAAAAAGTCCATTTAATAGTAAAACACCAACAATGGAAAAAAAGTATTTTCAAAATTTTACTTTGGATATCTACCATAGATATTTTTTAATACTGGAAAAGTATTTTCCTTTTGCATATTACTTTTGTTTACCCTGATAAAGAAATATGGTATTGGGTTCCATTCAACAAGAAATTTTAAATACCAAACAAGTAATTTTCATTTTGGGAAGAAAATAAACACAAGACTACATTTGCAGTAACAAAACAAAGGCAGTGAACCACCCCCCCCCCCCCTCAAATGTTTTCATCATATTTTGTTCCTAAAATCATAAAATGCCTTGCCCCAAGTTTCATCTGCAGGCCATAGTTAATTTCCTTAGTCAAAGATACAGGTACTTTAGTATCTTGATCCACACCAACAAATGCTGTGTATTTGGAAATGATGTTTGCTGCTTGACTGAATAAAATAATCTTTTCTTTTTCTTTTCCAGATTGCCGCCCATCAAATTCAAAGTTACCTAAAGTGCATATTTAGTAATAAATATAACTGAATTAAATATATAATGTTAAGAGTTTTTTTATGTATAATTATCTTACTGAATATTAATTTGTACTAATATAAGATTTAAAATACCGCTGGATTGACAACAACACTTTATGATTCACATAGTATATGCGCCAAAGAGTTTTCGTTTAATGAAAATTTTACACTGAAATAATGAAAAAGCTTTGGGGACGTCCATTGGTAGTTTTAGTGTCACAAATATCCATTTACCTGGTGACGTGTATCTCTAAATAACAGGTTCAGTAATTTACTAAAAAGCCATTGTACATGGCATGGAAATGCCTATGGGAGAGTCTTATTATGCCATTATGTTCTAAATCGACTATTATTTTTATGCCCCCTCCACTCAATGGACTGAACATAAAGTGTCATCCATGTCCCTCCATCTGCCCATCCATACATCATGCCAGCATTCTAAAATCCAACAGTTGTCTTGACTTTTTCTTTTCCTTTAGATGTCAACTTTGTTTAACCACTGTTTAAATTCCTGTTCAGATTAGTTGTATAAAGTTTCAATAATTTTATTATTTTGTAACAGCATGTTTTCCACTTTGTAGATTTTAAACTCTGCTTGATTGTCCTTGACATGCTCATGTCCCCATATAGACCTATTAGTAAAGTTAATTCAGAAATTTCAGGAAATACGGCACACAAAATTAACTTATGATTTTTTATTTTTGAAAAAAACCTATTCTGTTGCAATTTTGCAATAATTAAAACATCACAAAAACGACACAATAAAACTTGCAGTTCACTAAAGTGTTGTTGTCAATCCAGCGGTATTTTATTTATTTATTTTTATTGACAACCCTGCATACCATCGGGTATCCTCTTTAGTGACTCTACCTTCACTTCACCACAAAGGCGTTGGTTCAGCAGCTTTTTATTTTTATCCCGATTTCTGAACCCCTGCATCCACGGATCCGCCTATACCACACAGCGCCGACCACTTGGCCACCATGGAATCGAACGGTACTGAAGAATTTCAAGAAGCTAGCAATCAACCGATACCATCAACCTCTGCCGAACTACAAACAAATAAAAGGAAAAGAACAAACGAAGATCAGACAGCAGAATCCACGTACAAAGAAGAGCCACAAAGGATTCGAGAAATAAATGTACCATCATTTTGGCCTTCAGAAAATTAAATGTTAAATTAGTTAGGTGCCAGCAACACCAAAATTATTTAAATAAATGTAAAAACAGAGATACCATCCCTAAATTGCCTAGAAATTTTGCGACGGTAAAGAACTTTACGGCATTCCGGACGCGATTGGAAGCAGTACCTCTGGCCAAAGGGAAGCCAGTCAAAGTGGTAGGGGTGTGCCCTAAAAGTGTTGTCCAAATTAGGAAGAAACTTTATACAAACTGTACACTGACATTGTACTTACATTCATGTTACACATATTTTTTAATTTACTACCTTTATGTACATACATTTATAATTTTTTCATTTCATTCATACATTGGTAACCAGGAACAACAAAGACAATGGAGTAAACACATTATGACGTTAAAATTTAGATACCATTTTTTTATACTTCAGGGATTGTAATTTCTATATAATTTGTCCTGAAACTAGTCGACACAATAAAACTTGCAGTTCACTAAAGTGTTGTTGTCAATCCAGCGGTATTTCATTTATTTATTTTTATTGACAACCCTGCATACCATCGGGTATCCTCTTTAGTGACTCTACCTTCACTTCACCACAAAGGCGTTGGTTCAGCAGCTTTTTATTTTATTTTTATTTTTACTTTTATTTTTATTTTTATTTTTTTTTTTTTTTATTTTTTTTTTATTTATTAATATAAGATTTGTAATAATTGATAACTTTGTTTCTCTACTTTCCACTCCATGGCAAAATACTGTAGTTGGGTATGGTGAAACAAAACCTTACATTGGAAAATGTGGTAAGGCAAACCTAGGTGGATACCTAAGTATTTATTTAATGGTTGTCTTTTACCAGATAATTAATATTAACTTAATGACAGGAACTACCAGATTAGCTGTACTTTATTTTTCTGCAAATTCATAAATTTTTGTGATGTTTTAATTATTGCAAAATTGCAACAGAATAGGTTTTTTTCAAAAATAAAAAATCATAAGTTAATTTTGTGTGCCGTATTTCCTGAAATTTCTGAATTAACTTTACTAATAGGTCTATATGGGGACGTGAGCATGTCAAGGACAATCAAGCAGAGTTTAAAATCTACAAAGTGGAAAACATGCTGTTACAAAATAATAAAATTATTGAAACTTTATACAACTAATCTGAACAGGAATTTAAACAGTGGTTAAACAAAGTTGACATCTAAAGGAAAAGAAAAAGTCAAGACAACTGTTGGATTTTAGAATGCTGGCATGATGTATGGATGGGCAGATGGAGGGACATGGATGACACTTTATGTTCAGTCCATTGAGTGGAGGGGGCATAAAAATAATAGTCGATTTAGAACATAATGGCATAATAAGACTCTCCCATAGGCATTTCCATGCCATGTACAATGGCTTTTTAGTAAATTACTGAACCTGTTATTTAGAGATACACGTCACCAGGTAAATGGATATTTGTGACACTAAAACTACCAATGGACGTCCCCAAAGCTTTTTCATTATTTCAGTGTAAAATTTTCATTAAACGAAAACTCTTTGGCGCATATACTATGTGAATCATAGGTAAGCTTCTGGCATTTAATGTAAACACCAGGCATTTTTCAGGCTTTTTGTCCGCTTCAGAATATAATAAAATTTGAAAGAAAGAAAAATTTGTAGTTACAAAATGTAAGTTTTTGGCTTATTATTGGAGAACTTACATGTCAATACATTCCAGAATTCAAAATGTTGGCTTCCTTGGTAACATACAGGGAGATAGAGAATTTTACGCTTGTTGTCATCCAATCAGAAACATTAATACAAAATAATTGCATTAGAATTAGCTTTAATACTACAATATTAATACTATAATACTACAATATTGTTCTCACCATTATTTTCTAAATTGAGTTCTATAAACATTAAAAGTTTTGCATAGGGGTTATTTTCTGTCATTTTATTATAACTTAAAAGGCCAAAAACTTTCCACACAGGTATAATTTGTAGACATCAACAATATTGATGTAAAGCCTAAAGGGCAAATTTCTGGTTCAATGCAGAAATTTGAACCAAGCATGAAAAGTGCATGCATTGAAATGGTGAAAATAATAACTGGCAAAAATATCCAAGTATACTGTAAATTCAGAAATTATTGCATGCATTTATTATTGCAATTTTTGAAGAATGGACTATAATGTGAGTTTTTTATTGTGGTTTCAGGAAAATCTGCATACAGATGTATGTATCAGATATCAGAATGCAAGTTCTTATTATTGGGATAATAAGACAGTTGCATTGTTCACATTTATAAAGACATCACAATAATTTCTGAATTTACAGTGCACTATTGTATTTTATTAATGTGTTTACGTACTGTCCTCAATTTCTAGGTCTTTAATCTGGTACTTTGCAGCCACACGATGTAATGGTAGATCGATGTGTGGAGATCTTGTACTTTTAATCTTCATCTTATAGAATACACTGTTTCCTCCTAATGTCCCTGTCAAGGTCAAAGAGCCTGCAACATCTACCTGAAATTGAAGAAAAATTCACTGAAAGCAGCCATTGTAGATTTTGGATTAACATAAAACCTTTGATATTTATTCCATTGAGGTCATCTATCAACCACTTTATTAAACTGATTGTTTCAGTTTAAAATAAATAGGGAATATGTCCATGGGACACAGATATGCCCCCGCCTGCATATAATGTTATAACGGAACATAACTTAAGAACGGTAAAAAACACGCTACCAAAATTTGTACTAGAACTGAGTTTTTGTGGTAAAAGCATTGTGAATAAGTTTCATGATATTTGGTTGCAGCAAACTTAAGAGAACGGAAACAAAAAATTCAGCAATTTTTCCATTTGTAAAGGGCATAACTCTAGACAGGTATAAGTGATGCCCCCAATTCAAACTTGATCTGTGTTTTGTGGTAATAAGCATTGTGCATAAGTTTCATAACATTTGGTTGAGGCAAACTAAAGTTAGAGAATGGAAACCAATTTCAGGACATACAGACGTACGGACGTACAGATGTACAGACAAGGGTAAAACTTAATGCCCCCTCCACTACGGCAGGGGCATTAACAATCTATAACACAAGTGAAAGTGCGAGCTACTGCTCACTGATGATACCCCCGCCACAACTGGATAATTTTAATAGTGTAAAAATATGTAAGTGTTCGGGAAACAGGAAGTTGTTGAGTGATGAATCTGAAAACGCATCACACAGTATAGCTGACTCATATAAACCCTGAAACCAAATTTCAGAAATCCTTGTAATGTAGTTCCTGAGAAAAATGTGACGAAATTTTCAACTTGGATGTCATGTGTTAAATGATGCAAGTGTTGGGTAAACAGGAAGTTGTTGAATGATGAATCTGAAAACGCATCACATGGTATAGTTGAGTCATATAAACCCTGAAACCATATTTCAGAAATCATTGTAATGTAGTTCCTGAGAAAAATGTGATGAAAATTTTCAGCTTGGATGTCATGTGTAAAATGATGTAAGTGTTTTCGGTAAACAGGAAGTTGTTGAGTGATGAATCTGAAAACACATCACACTGTATAGCTGACTCATATAAACCCTGAACCCAAATTTCAGAAATCCTTGTAATTTAGTTCCTGAGAAAGATGCGACGAAAAATATTCATGGGACGGACGGACTGACAGATAGACGGATGGATGGACGGACGGACAGACAGAGGTAAAACAGTATACCCCCACTTTTTTTAAGCGGGGGTATAATAATAAGAAGCTGCACAAGCAAAGACTATTCATTGATTTAACTGAATGTTGACAACTGGATTTAAGCTCTGAACAAAAATTTCATCTTGACCAACTTATTCAATCAATCATGAAAATACAACAAGATTCACAAAATATTGTATACAGAAACAAAGAAAGGTAGTCCAATGATTTTTAAAACTACAGAATGCTTACAAGCAAAATGGATGTTTGAACAAATATATGCAAGCCTGAAGGACATCTCCACTCATTAAAAAACTATATCTGCTTTGCTGAGTAGCATAATGTCAAATTTTGAATCATTGTTAACCTACTTTTCTATCTGATGATTTTAACACTGCAAACAAAACAACATTGTCTCCACTGAAAATAACAGGTGGTTCCACAGGAATGGTAGTAGCTGTAAAGCATTCAGGGAGTTCCCAATTCAGGCTTACATCATGTAAACAGTCAGTTAGGGATGACTTCATTGCAGTTATAACCTGAAACAAATCAAAGAAAATACAGTTAGAATTGTTGTATATAAAATCTTATCTAAAAGAGGACAGTGTAAAAAAGAAATTTACAACGGAAAAATTCGTCAATTTTGCACATCATTTACCAGATAGAGGGGATCGCCTGTATCCTTTCACTATTAAAGTTCATCAAGCGTCTTTGTGATCGTCATTATGCAAAATAAACTAGAAATAATGTTTGTTCCATAGGTACTTAATTCCCTAATGACAGCTGTGCTAATGAGCAATTATAAGAATTTAATTTGCCGAATAATTTGTGCAATATAGCATCATATTTTTTCAACCACTCACTCAACATGGTAAGGGAAGAGACGATGCCCCTAAACGCATGAAAGAGGGACGAAAGATACCAGAGGGACAGTCAAACTCATATATCGAAAAAAACCGACAACGCCATGGCAAAAATAAAAAGACAAACAGACAAATAATAGTACAAATGACACTACATAGAAAACTAAAGACTAAGCAACACGAACCCCACCAAAAACTGGGGGTGATCTCAGGTGCTCCGGAAGGGTAAGCAGATCCTGCTCCACATGTGGCATCCGTCGTGTTGCTTATGTTATTAAAAAATCCAGTAAATAGTCTAATTCGGTATATAATTCGGGATATTGCTAACTTCTTATCTTTCTTCCTAAGAAGTTCCTGTATGAAGTCAGCCTCATAATAATAAAGAAACAAGTCGACAAGAAGAGGGGCACAATTGGTTCCCATTGGAATTCCGACAGTCTGTTGAAAAACACTTCCTCCAAACGTAACAAATATGTTGTCAATCAAGAAATCAAGCATCTTGATAATGTCAGAGAAAAGAGAATTTTTTGTTTGAATCAGAGTGATTCTTTACAAAGTAGGATTTATCCCTCCCCAAGACAAGATACTTGTATCTACATTCGCCATTCTTTTTAATGAAACAAAGTAATACCAACTCTTTCAATTTGTCTTTTAGTTTGGAACGGGGAATACTTGTGTAAAGTGTAGAAAAGTCAAATGTTTTAATACTATTGCAAGATGAGAGAGTCTTAGATTGTATGTAATCTAAAAGATCTTTGAATTTTTTAGTATCCACATCTGATTCACGCCACCTCTAGAATAGGCAGTTTCACAAAAACTTTGGAGCCCCGCTTTGATTGCTTATAAAATAGATGTTAATAATTTAGAAAGAGGTTTCGCGGAGTACTTGGAAGACCCATCAATATACCGTTGTTTGCAAGGAGTGAGGACACTTATGTAGTTTAGGTATCCAATACAGTGATGGAAGACCCAGTTCTTCAATGATAAAATTGAGAATGGAAATGGGGAATGTGTCAAAGAGACAACAACCCTGACCATAGAGCAGACAACAGCTGAAGGCCATCAATGGGTCTTCAATGCAGCAAAAAACTCCCGCACCCGGAGGCGTCCTTCAGCTGGCCCCTAAATAAATATGTATACTAGTTCAGTGATAATGGATGTCATACTAAACTGCAAATTATACACAAGAAACTAAAATCAATAAAATGCTCCGCAGGGCGCAGCTTGATACGACCGCAGAGGTCGAACCCTGAACAGTTGGGGCAAGTATGGACACAACATTCAAGCTTGATACAGCTTTGCATTTGGATTGTGATTAAATATTTGACACAGCATAGGTTTCTGACACAGAATGAATGTGGTCTAAGAACTTAAAAATTTTAAATTGGACATTCACCTATTATGGTCCAATATCCAAAATCTAAATACATGGTTAGATTCAGCATATCAAAGAACCCCAAGAATTCAATTTTTGATGAAATCAAACAAAGTTTAATTTTGGACCCTTTTGACCTCAGTGTGGACAAAGTTGATAACAGGGCCCAAAAATCAAAAATCTAAATACATGGTTAGATTCAGCATATCAAAGAACCCCATATATTCAATTTTTGTTGAAATCAAACAAAGTTTAATTTTGGACCCCGATTTGGACCAACTTGAAAACTGGGCCCATAATCAAAAATCTAAATACATGTTTATATTCAGCATATCAAAGGACCCTAAGAATTCAATTTTTGTTAAAATCAAACTAAGTTTAATTTTGGACCCTTTGGACCTTAATGTAGACCAATTTGAAAACGGAACCAAAAATTAAGAATCTAAATACACGGTTAGATTCGGCATATCAAAGAACCCCAATAATTCAATTTTTGATGAAATCAAACAAAGTTTAATTTTGGACCCTTTGGACCTCAATGTGGACCAATTTAAAAACTTGGCCCAAAATCCAAAAACTAAATACACGGTTAGAATCAGCATATTAAAGAACCCCAAGAATTCAATAATAAAACCCCATTGAAATTGGTCAAGAAATAAGCAATTTATACGAAGTATCTTCTTTTGCACAATACTGTGCAATTAAATATTTCTTGCTATTGCGCAATACTGTACAATTGACAATTTCTTGCTATTGCGCAATATTGTGCTATTGGATATTTCTTGCTATTGCGCAATACTGTGCAATTGAAGATTTCTTGCTATTGCGCAATACTGTGCAATTGAAGATTTCTTGCTATTGTGCAATACTGTGCAATTGAAAATTTCTTGCTATTGCACAATACTTATTATATAATAATTTACACATCCTGTTTGGTGTGTATCTCCTACCATATCATTATCATTTGCTTTTAAATATAAATCAGAAATAACCAACTTAAAAAGAAAAAAAAAAGGAAAAAAAAAAAAAAATCCCCCGCCCCCCCAAATTTTTTTAACCCCCTTATGATTCATCACCCCCAAACTCAATCCCAGCCTTCCCTTTGTGGTATGGTACCTTGCAGTACAATTTCAGAGAGATCCATACACTTGAACACAAGTTATTGTCAGGAAACTAGAAAAATGTGTTTTTTGGCCCCAAATTCCTAAACGTTTCGGCAATTACCCCCAAACTCAAACCCAGCTTTCCCTTTGTGATATGGAACCTTGTAGTACAATTTCAGAAAGATCCATACACTTACACACAAGTTATTGTCCTGAAACTAGAAAAATGTTTGTTTTTTGCCCCTTTTTGGCCCCTAATTTATAAAATATTGAGGCAATTACCCCCATCATCAATCCCATCCTTCCCTTTGTGGTATGGTACCTTGCAGTACAATTTCAGAGAGATCCATACACTTGAACACAAGTTATTGTCTGGAAACTAGAAAAATGCTTATTTTTGGCCCCTTTTTGGCCCCCAATTCCTTAACGTTTCGGCAATTACCCCCAAACTCAATTCCAACTTTCCCTTTGTGATATGGAACCTTGTAGTACAATTTCAGAAAGATCCATACACTTACACACAAGTTATTGTCATTAAACTAGAAAAATGCTTGTTTTTTGCCCCTTTTTTGGCCCCTAATTCCTAACATTTTGAGGCAATTACCCCCAAAATTAATCCCAGCATTCCTTTTGTGATATGGAACCTTGTGGTACAATGTCAGAGAGATCCATACACTAACACACAAGTTATGTCTGGAAGTTACAAAAATGCTTATTTTTGGCCCCTTTTTGGCCCCTAATTCCTTTACTGTTGGTACCATAACCCCCAAAATCAATCCCCACCTTCCTTTTGTGGTATTGAACCTTGTGGTAAAATTTCATAGAGATCCATTCACTTAAACTAAAGTTAGAGAGCGAAATCCAATGTGTCTTCGGACGGCGCCGGACGACGCCAGACGACGACGACGCCAACGTCATACCAATATACGACCACAAAAATTTTTTTGCGGTTGTATAAAAATGATACAAGACTAACACAGGCCCGAGGCGGGGTTAAACATGTTTTTTGAGATCTCAACCCTCCCCCTATACCTCTAGCCAATGTAGAAAAAACAAACGTACAACAGTACGCACAGTAAAACTCAGTTCAAGTTAAGTCCGAGTCCGATGTCAGAATAGGAAACAAAAGAAAATAAACAAAATGACAATAATACATAAATAACAACAGACTACTAGCAGTTACTGACATGCCAGCTCCAGACCTCAATTAAACTGATTGAAAGATTATGTCTTCATCATATGAATATCAGGCACAATCCCTCCTGTTAGGGGTTTAGTATTATACCATCATAAAATATATGAGAAGAACATAACCCGTGTCATGCCAACAACTGGTTTTAGAATAAATATGTTTAATTCCGATGCAAAGACCCTATAAGTGAATCAATATTAAAGCCAAAATATGCAATCTTTAATGACCTGACAACAGTATCGTAACTATATCCCTTCTTAATAAGTCTGTTTAAAGGTTTTGTTAGCTTTTGAGGTGAATACTGACATTTTTGTGCTTTGTAAAGAATATTACCATAAAAGATTGGATGTGAAATACCCGAACGTATAAGATGTCTGCATGTTGAGTTATATTTATGAATGATGTCCTTATACCGATGATAAAATTTAGTAAATGTTTTGACTAGTTTATGATATCGAAAACCCTGGTGTAATAATTTTTCAGTAATACATAAATTTCTCTCGCTAAAATCTAATAAGTTGTTACATACACGAGCGAATCGTACAAGTTGAGATATATAAACACCATAAGATGGTGACAAGGGAACGTCACCATCTAAAAATGGATAATTAACAATAGGAAATGAAAAATCATCTCTTTTATCATAAATTTTTGTATTAAGATTCCTGTTAATGATATAGATATCAAGATCGAGGAAAGGACAGTGGTCATTGTTAGTATTAGCTTTATTTAAAATAAGTTCAACAGGATAAATTTCTTTAGTATACATACTTAAAATTCTTAAAATGGAAATTTAATTATTGTGATGTTCACTCAAACCAAAGTTTTTGACGGAAATGAAACGAACTCGAAAGTTGTCTATTATGTCAATAGTTGAGAAAAATAAATTTGGCATGATCAAAGATGAAATTTGATTAAAATACCAAACAATACCTCAATTCTGTTTGAACTATTAATCTGCACATGGGCTTACAGAACTTGAAGAATCATGGAGCATTAATTTGAAATATGATTCACCTATAAATTAAGATTCTGCAAATTCCAAACAATTGTGTGCATTTATCTATGAACTTAGGATCTACAAACAAACATTTCAAGGAATTAAAATTCTTAAAATGGAAATTTAATTATTGTGATGTTTACCATGGTGAATTTTTCACAAAGATAAAATAACATAACACAAGTATTCTGAATTTATTTACAGTAACACATCCTCAATCTGTATCTCTTCACTTTAAGACTTCTCATCAGAAGAAACCCTGACAGATGGAAAAGTATACTCGACATTAATAAAATAAGCCAAATAAAGCTGACCTGTATTTTTCGGTAACTGAAAAAAACTGACATAAGCACAAAAACTAAATATTGATCAATGAACCATGAAAACAAGGTCAAGCACAACTGACTCCAGTCAGATTGACAGGTACATCTTAAAATGACCTGACAAAATAAAATATATTTGACCTATGACTTGTAGTGACTTAGAAAGTGATTGAAGTATGAAAACATTAGCAATAACTCATTGAACCACAAAAACGATTCCATGAACTAATGAGATATTCCAGATGGAAACTCCAGAAAAATAGCCATCTTTATACAAAATAAAGGTTCTCCAGCTAATCTGCCTACTAGATTATTCAGCTTTATATAAATAATATATGCTTTAAAATTGCATGAGCATATATGTGTGTTGCCTCCAACAACATTTCTTGCAAATAAGAACTAGAGGCTCTAAAGAGCCTGTGTCGCTCACCTGTATTTACTGATGCTTTGGAAATCATGTAAAATAAGGTTAAAATCATAATTAATAGTATTAGATATTAGATATTATAATTATATCTAAGATAAAAACAAAAATCTGCAAAATTTTTGTAAAATTACTAACTCAGGGGCAGCAACCCAACAACGGGTTGTCATATTCATCTGAAAATTTCAGGGCAGATAAATCTAAATCTGATGAACATTTATGCCACCTGTCAGATTTGCTCTAAATGCTTTAGTTTCAGAGATATAAACCAAAAGCTGCATTTTACCCTATGTTCTATTTTTAACCAAGTTGGCCATGATGGTTGGAAGGCGGGGTCATCAGACACATTTTTTAAACTAGATACCCTAATAATGATTATGGCCAAGTATGGTTAAATTTGTCTTAGTAGTTTCAGAGAAGAAGATTTTTGTAAAAGATTACAAAAATTTACGAAAAAAATTGTTAAAAATTTACTATTAAGGGCAAAAACTCCTAAAGGGGTCGACTGATAATTTTGGTCATTGCAACTTATTTTTAGATCTTACTTTGCTGAACATTATTGCTGTTTACAGTTTATCTCTATCTATAATAATATTCAAGATAATAACCAAAAACTGCAAAATTTCATTAAAATTACCAATTCAGGGGCAGCAACCCAACAACAGGTTGTCAGATTTGTCTGAAAATTTCAGGGCAGATAGATCTTGACCTGATAATCAGTTTTACCCTGTCGGATTTACTCTAAATGCTTTGGTTTCAGAGATATACGCCAAAATCTACATTTTACCCCTATGTTCTATTTTTAGCCATGGCGGCCATCTTGGTTGGTTGGCAGGGTCATCGGACATATTTTTTAAACTAGATACCCTAATGATGATTGTGGCCAAGTTTGGTTAAATTTGGCCCAGTGGTTTCAGAGGAGAAGATTTTTGTAAACGCTAACGACGACGATGACGGACGACGCACGACGGACGCCAAGTGATGAGAAAAGCTCACTTGGCCCTTCAGGCCAGGTGAGCTAAAAAAACAATGTTAGGAAAATAAGGATATGACTACATCTCAAACATCATTTTTATATACAAAATTATATAAAATGCAAAATACAAAAAAAGTTTAAAAATATATATGAAATAAAAAGTTCAATAGAAATGATTGGACTACATAGTGGAATATCAGACCTATATCTTTGGGAGGACCAATAACATCATGTTACCTTTCTAAAGGTAATATTTTTTTCTGGTTATGTCTTGAAGGACATTTTTTTATGAATATATTGATAGTTTTCTTTAAAATAAGCATGGTGTGACACATTTCATCATTTAGATCAAAATACAAAAGAAAGCCAACTAAATAACTTATTATACAAAACAGACAATATCAAAACCTGGAATGTTATTCAAAATCAGGTTTTTGAAGTGAAACTGTTAATTAAATATTGTTTTCCTAAATAGGAATGTCTTGATGCTTTAAAATCTACATTACTTGACTATACAAAATTACAAAATTGCCATTTAATCTAATTTTTTGCAATTAAACCTTTGAGAGTATGCTCACATACCCCATGCCCCCATCACATTGTAATTTGGTAAAAAAAAATCTCACCAGATTCCTACATCCAAAGACTCATAAATTGAATTATAGTTTCCTGTCGATTTGCTAATCTACATAGTATGTCATCATTACAAATGTATCTACAAAGCTTAATGAAATTCTGTTGTGTGGTTTCAAAGGATTTGTGATGGCAAGAACAGGACTGACAGAAGGACAGAGCGACGGACAGATGGGTCAAAAACATTATACCCGACGCACAGTTGTGTGTGGTATAATAATCCAAATTGTGAGCCTTTATTTTCTCTAATACTTAAACATAAACCTATATTTTACCTGTGGATTTTTCTATATCATCATGCCCTATAACATATATAATTAAAAACCATAAAATGGCAATATAAAGGGAGGTTTTCCTCTTACTAAGTGAGTCAAACCCTAAACTGCTTAGTTTAAAACAAAATGTACTACCACTGCCAAGGTGAGCTAATAACTAGGTAACTTTACCTTTGCTTTCATGTTATCTTTATCCTTAATAAAAACTGCTTTTCCTCTGCTAGCTTTTGCTACATTCTTTATCAAGCTAGTGGAAACTCCATCTCCAATACCAAATGTAAAAACTCTGTACAAAGGAAATATCTTTTATACATCTCACTAAATATAATGTAAACTTCACTTTGGGTATATATAATCGATAAACATTACCCTAAGTCGGTGTTGAAATAAAAAATAATTTTGATTCCCAATATCACATAGACTCTTTTCCTCAATGCTTCTAATGCAAAATACAGTGATTCTATTGTTCATTTTGAACTAATTGTTTAAGAAAGCATTTTTCTAGCACAGGCCATTGTCAATCTTCATTGAACAATGTCTCTAATCATTTGTTGTATTTTTGTTGATGATTGAAACCAAGATATGCCCCTTATAGAAATTCAAAATGTTGTATAATTATTAGTGTTGTCAAAGTGATCATTTTCAACTAACTGGTTACTCAGATAATCTTTCGACCAAGTAACCAGTTAACCAGTATGGAAGTTAACGTTAAAAGAAAATGTACCCTAAGGGTGACTGGGGTGAAGAAATATGGTCACTGTTTGGTCTTATCCAACCTGCAGTAAGACACTTGACAAAGTGTGTGTTCTTTTGGCTGTGTGGGAAGTATGAAAAAACCCTCCCCCTTTTTTTTTTACAAAATACTCAATAACTCAAAAATAAAATTTTGAATCATCACCAAAAAGTATACAGATCTTAAGATTAATATAACTAAGAAGTGTGTAAAGTTTTAAGCAATAATCATAAATTGTTTTTGAGATACGGTGCGACATGTGAAAAAAAACACACACCTGTTTTAGTTACTAAGTCCCGTAACTCAAAAGTTTTAATCTTATTTTCACCAAAAAGTATACAGATCGTTTGACCATCATAAGAAACAACTATTTTAAGTTTCATGAAACTTGGATATGTCGTTCTCAAGTTACGGTGCAATATGTTTACGCCGGACAGACAGACAGACAGACGACATTTGTATACCATAATACGTCCCGTCAAAATTTTGACGGGCGTATAAAAAATGTACTGGATAATTGGATCATTAAGTACCATGATGATCATGTTAAAATATTTGTATTGATTTTGTTTTATGATTTTATTATACATTTATATCAAAACTATTAAAATTGAAAAAAGGTCTGATTTATCGATTAATGATTTTGGTTTTTAATTATATTCTGTCCTTTCAACGATTAACCAGTTAACCAATTAACCGTTGACAACACTAATTATTATGTATGGCAGAGCTCAATTCTAACAATGGACAATTCTAACATTTTTTTTTAATTAAATTTACCTTGTATTTTTCTTATGACTGCTGACTAATGAAATAACTTCAGATGTGTTACTCACTTCACCGTCTGTCAACAAAAATATCTGAAATACAAACATGAATGTGTTGCAGTGATCTCATAGATATTGATGAATACAAAATTCTCATTACTTAACTTTTGCTTGGATTTAGATATGTTCGAAGTTACACTAAATAGTTTGAAAAATAATGGAATTTGTTGTTGCATTATGATGAGGCTTGCAGAATTTAATAACAAAATATATACATGTATATATTTTGAAGACATTCAATTTTGAGTCCCATCATAACACGTTTCTAAAATATAAATCATTAGATAGAGAACCATCAATATTTCCAAAACATCTCTTTCATAAGCACTTTAAGCAAAAAATGAAAATCAAAATACATAAAGAATGTGTGCATGGGACACAGATGCTACTAGCTTGTAAATATATGGCAAATTCTTCAATCTAAGGAAAAAAATAACACTTACTGTGACTTGACTGTAAGTGTTGCTCTCCACCTATTGCAATAAATTCAAAATTCTGACCAAATTGCAATTTGTTTTATAAAACCAAACTGTTCAACTGGTTAGAAATTTGAACAAACTGCTGTAGAAAACCACAGTCAAGTCATAAAAGTGCAAGGTGCTAAAATGAAGCCTACTTACAATTTTAAAAGACTTAAATTCCACTTTAATATTAATGATATTATGAAAATACAGTCTAACAAGTTTTATACAAATTTTATTGTAATTGTCATGCTAAAGGTGATAAGTTATAGTTTTGAAATGCTGTAAAATGTCCAAGCTAAGCTTTCATACAATTTTTACTTTCGTTTCTCCAATGGAAACTTCATAACAACGTATTGTAGTTTCACATATATTTTACGGAATATAAAATGTTTTAATTCAAATGATGTCTGATTCTTATAAATATAGAAGACTTTTCGAAAGAAAAATTGTATGAAAGCTTAGTTTGGATATTTTTATAGCAATTCAAAATTATTACCTATAACCTTTAGCATGACAATTACAATAAAATTTGTATAAAACTTGTAAGACTGATTTTTCATAATATCATTGAAGTGGAATTAAAGTCTATAGGATTGTAAGTATGCTTTATTTTATCACCTTGCACTTTCACGACTTGACTGTGGTTTTCTACAGCAGTTTGTTCAAATTTCTGACCAGTTGAACGGTTTGGGTTTATATAACAAATTGCAATTTGGTCAGAATTTTGAATTAATTGCAGTAGATGGAGAGCAACATTTACAATCAAGTCACAGTAACAAACATTTTTGCACATCGTAAAATACTCTTTGTTTCAATTACCTGTCGTGGGTAGCCATGCTTACAGCTTCCACTGTAAATATTTTTAAGAGGCTCTTATATTTCTGTTCCTCCCATATCAGCATCCATTTTGGACTGAACACCAAGAGCTTTCTGTAATGTTTTTTCAGTGTATATTTCACTTCTACAATAAAAGAAAATATAATACACTGTGGATTAATTGATCTTTGTGGTTAAACATTTTGGAATATTTCAACATCATCAGACCATGACTGAGGAGGTGAGCAAAATGATCAACTTGAAAATGAGATGTTCTGATACAACAGCATAGAACATATTATTACCTTATCATTACTGATTAATAAGTACCCTTAATTAGTAGTCTACACCAAAATCTTTTCCAACTACTAGTCAAAAAACCCATTTATTGAAGAAAATAACAGTACACCATCAATTATGGGTAACTTGGGATAGGAAAGAAAACATACAGCTAGTTTGCAAGCTAGAATAAAGAGAGAGTCAGTCTGCACTTTAAGCCACTATTCCAATGCCACAGACTAGTAAGGATTAGCGAAACTTTGTTTGGACACATAATAAAAATGTCTGAATATTGGCAGGTTCTTTATACTTGTGGTTAATTTTACATTAAACAGAAATGTGTCTTGTGAGTACTTTTGTTTCTATATTGGGTTATTAAAAAATCAATAAACTGTGAAAAAAGGTATGCAACCTAAAACATACATATAAGATCACCTTATTAATCTTTGAATACCTAAGATTTTTTCATATGATTATATTTTTTCTGCACATCACAGACGTTTGAATAAGGTTCCCTTTAAAATTTTATATTTCTATATAAATAATGTAATACTAACTCACTTTTTGAACAGAAATCTGTGATCATTACCAAATGAAACCACATTAAACAAACAACCAACAGGTAAACTCTTCAACAACAATAACAAAGTCTCTTTGGCCTTTTCTATTCTATTTCCACCCATACTGCCTGAAAAAATTCAAAATAACCTGTCATTTGAATTTTTATTGAGTCCTGTTACATTGTTATTTGTTTGTGTTTGATGCCACTTTCAGCAATCTTGGCTATATCATGACGTATCAGGTCTATTAATCTAATTTTTCAGGTTTCTTTAAGTCGTATTCAAATGAGACAATAAGCTTTAAGCTCCATTGTTTCAGTAGAATAAGATAACATATGCTTCATGTGTATTTCTTTTCTAATCTTTATGTCTAAGGATCATGGAAAAATTAAGTCACCAGTCCCTAAGTAATGAACATCAAATAGTTTCAAGTCAAATACTATAAGAAACACAATTTATTGTATCAATATGAAGTGATGCGTAAGTGTTAATTAGACAAGAAATGCAGCAACAACATGAATAAAAACAAAACGAAGTAAACCTGAGTGTAATATTTGACATTTTCTGTACTTGTGCCCAATAGATGATACTAAAATCATGCATACTTTCAAAACTCAAGGTTGAACAGGGCTTCTATCAAACTAAACATTATTCATATGCACACTACTGAAAGCTTTTATGCTGTAGATTTCCATGTCTTAAATACATGTAAAACTGTATAGTATATGTATCACTGAATGTAACATAAAAACCCACCAGATCTGTCTATAACAAAAATGAATTCTCTCTTGCTATCTTCTGTGTGTGTCCCTTGCTTAATATCAGGATAGAAGTTGACCATTAAAAGATCTTCTTTCAGTAAGCCATCTACAAGCAGAAAAACGATTCAAAGTTCATTTTCAGTTATCAATTATTATGTTGTGAGTGTTGATGTATTTTGGTATTAAGCCTTATTGACTACACCAGTGTTAAAGAAATAATATCATATGAGGCAGGTGCTTCCCGTGAAAGAGGATGATATTCTTGGTTACAAAATATTGGTACCACAGTACAGATGACATGATCTTATGCAAGAATTTTAACTTCTGTATACAAGAAGAATTAGAAGATAGGACTATTGGTCGATCAAAATATGTTTGATATTTTTGCAGCTTCTACCTTGATAGATTGACAGATATGCTCTCTACATGTAAGGGAAGTGCTAATCAAATAAAATTTGTCTTTTGAAGATTTTCACATTCCTGTTTATTTTTTGCATTTTAAAGAGATTTTAGCAAACTTTAAATCAAAGAAAAATCTTTTTGTCTTGTTTTTAATAATAATGAAACTGTCACAGTATGTGGTATCATTATGATTGTGCATGGTTGTGTATAAGAAATTGTCTCATGTTAAGCAGACTTTTTCCCAAAATAATATAACTTGCAACTAATAAAATTGTAATTGACTTTTTGTGAAATGAGTCTCTGCCATGTATCTTCCTGTATCTATATGTATACCTTTTTCTAAATTTCCTGGCTCTAAAATGACTTCTGGTTTGTTGATGTTTTCATACTCAATATCCATTGATAAATCATGATCAAACTGGAACATATCTGCCAGATCCACCTACCAAAATATAAGCCCAACATAGACAGGTTGATATTTTACACGCTGAAATTTATCACAGAAAATTTAATTTATATGTATTTTTGAATATATTTTTTAATCTAGGCGAACTTTGGTAATTTGTTGTTATAAAATAGGCCATCAGTTTTCCTCAATTGAATTGTTTCATATTTTTCATGCTAGGGCCTTTTAAAGCTGACTCTTAACTGTGTGGGTTTTTTCTCATTGTTGAAGTACAGTTGCCTATAATTGTTCTTCATTTGAACTTTGAGATAGTTGTCTCATTGGCAATCATACCACATCTCTTATTTCTATATTAAAGGTGGTGCGGAGTATGTTAATGCTCTTTTTAATCTATGTGAACTTGAAGATGGTGCAATCATTAAATTAAACATTTATATGGTACAAAATGTACATGTGGTCATTAATTAAATTGTTAACTCAAAATCATAGCTCATAATATTTTACTTATGATTATCAAAAATCTTGCATTTGTTTTCTTACATGTTTTAGTATAGTATGTTTTTCTTTCGGCACTTTTATCTTAGGAACCAAATCGACTAAAATATCACGAAAGCAAAAACATGAAAAATATCGCAATTTAGAATATTTTATTTTCTGAAAGTGTGTGGTCACAATAGTGTTCTCCAAAACACTTTACCAATTTCAATTAGATTTTTTTATTAGGCAATTTTGATTTGTCTCCTTATTATCTATAATGGAATTTAGATCTAGAGCACATATGTACGTACATGTTATCTGGATGGTGATCTGTAGATATAGAAAAATATCAGCCCGCGAGCCAGAATATGAAGCTAAATGTCGAGTGAGCGTAGCGAACGAGCCATTTAGCTTCATATTCTGTCAAGGGGACTGATATTTTTCAATATCTATACAATCCACATTCAGATAACATTTTTATCATCTTTCAAAGCAATGTTTTTTATCGAAATTTCCTTTTTCAATAATTTCGCGGGAATTGTTATTACCAGAGTGTCTCTGTTATTACTAGGCAACACACGTCATCAAAATATTAAACCGTGGATACACCTTGTGGCCAAAATACGCAGGGTAAAATATTCCCATTAACTAGAGGAAGAAAAATGTTTCGTGTACATGATAATGCATATATGAGAGTAATATTTGAAGATGATACAAAAAAAAAAAAATATTAAAGATTATATTGAAAGATCGTAGTATTTCATATCACCAGAAGAAGAAAATTTCTACTCGCTGACTGCTTCGTAATTCGTAAAGGAGAAGTTATTTTGAGAAAGACAGATTTATGTTCACTATAAATGTTTTTAATAATTTAAACTGCCACCCCCGCATTGTTGACATTTGTATCGATAGATTGATCTCAATACAGGTCAGATCAATAGTTCAAATTAGGTCAAATAGTTCAGTTCTGAAAAAAAGTAGTCCCGGCAGAACTTATCAAGACATCCGTCGACACCATTTTATCAACATCTCGTTTCAGAATGTAAAGCAATTATAGGAAAAAAAGAAATGGTTCATTGTAAAATATGTACTGCAAGTGTAATTTATTTTATTAAAAGAATTTATTTGGTGACTTATCACCATTACAATACAAGGCAATATGTTGGGAGAATTTGTTGATAAGTCCTGCTCACTTGATAATGTCTCCTCACTTGCACGCGCTAACTGGATACGAGTTTTACAGATATGTTGAGGAAGCTGATATAGCGGTAGGGAAGGATGATAAATGTATTTATCCTTCTTTTACAAAAAAAATATGTAATGTCTTCTATAGAAATTTTGGACCCTATAGCTACCTACCGTAAACTATAGGAAAATGTGATTTCAATAATTTCTCAAAAGTTAAAACTTCATATAAACATTAAGTCATTAACTCACAGAAGCTGATAATTTATCTTCACTGATTTTGACATTTAGTTTGTCTATAGGACTGGTAATGGATTCCACATTGTAGCAACCGGAGATGGAAGCACTGAAAGTCAGTTTACAAGGAGTTCTTATGTCCACCTGGCTAGCAGTAGGTTCACTGCCTGCTTCGATAACATGTCCAACTTCTGAAATAAGAATGTTAACACTTTTAACATAAATATTGACTTGCATAAGGAAAGTGTAAAAAAATACAAAAAACATTGCTCTTTCACTCTGTGTGCTTGTGCAAATCTTACTAAACATTGCTCTTCTACTCTGTGTGTTTGTGCAAATCTTACTAAAAATTGCTCTTCTACTCTGTGTGTTTGTGCAAATCTTACTAAGCATTGCTCTTCCACTCTGTGTACTGTGTACTTGTGCAAATCTTACTAAACATTGCTCTTCCACTCTGTGTACTTGTGCAAATCTTACTAAACATTGCTCTTCCACTCTGTGTACTTGTGCAAATCTTACTAAACATTGCTCTTCTACTCTGTGTACTTGTGCAAATCTTACTAAACATTGCTCTTCCACTCTGTGTGCTTGTGCAAACCTTACTAAACATTGCTCTTCCACTCTGTGTACTTGTGCAAATCTTACTAAACATTGCTCTTCCACTCTGTGTACTTGTGCAAATCTTACTAAACATTGCTCTTCCACTCTGTGTGCTTGTGCAAACCTTACTAAACATTGCTCTTCCACTCTGTGTACTTGTGCAAATCTTACTAAACATTGCTCTTCCACTCTGTGTGCTTGTGCAAATCTTACTAAACATTGCTCTTCCACTCTGTGTACTTGTGCAAATCTTACTAAACATTGCTCTTCCACTCTGTGTACTTGTGCAAATCTTACTAAACATTGCTCTTCCACTCTGTGTGCTGTGTGCTTGTGCAAATCTTAGTAAACATTGCTCTTCCACTCTGTGTACTTGTGCAAATCTTACTAAACATTGCTCTTCCACTCTGTGTACTTGTGCAAATCTTACTAAACATTGCTCTTCCACTCTGTGTACTTGTGCAAATCTTACTAAACATTGCTCTTCCTCTCTGTGTGCTCGTGCAAATCTTACTAAACATTGCTCTTCCACTCTGTGTACTTGTGCAAATCTTACTAAACATTGCTCTTCCACTCTGTGTGCTTGCGCAAATCTTACTAAACATTGCTCTTCCACTCTGTGTACTTGTGCAAATCTTACTAAACATTGCTCTTCCACTCTGTGTGCTTGCGCAAATCTTACTAAACATTGCTCTTCCACTCTGTGTGCTACTTTAAAATCAAAGTACTGAAGTACTGAACATCGGATGACCGCAAGTTCTTGTGGATGGTCACAAGCACTTGTCTCAGAAAAAAAATCACATCTCTATACCTGAAAGTGAGGTTAATGTACAGAGATATATTTTTTTTCTGAGACAAGTTCGTGCGTGGATGATGAATAAATGACAGGGAATTCAACCTCACTGTAATAACTATTATATTGTAGTGATACAAATCAGAATACTCTGGTTTGTTGTTATATAGTATATTTGTATATGACAGTTACATGTATATATAATTTTCATCCATTTGTATATCATTCTATTCTACTATTCTAATAATAGTGCAGTGCAAGTGCACGGTGGACACTCTTCTGTAATAATTTCGATTTTTCTAATAGATTGGATTTGAGTCGACATTCATATTTTCCAGCAAAACGTTCTTGAGATATTCTTCCGCATGCGTTAACACATTTTTTCTGTACGTGTGCATAGATATAAATGATTTTTTACTTATATATATATATTTCTAACGACAAAACATTTTCATATTATTAATTTATGTTCTAAAAAAAATATTTTTATGAGTATTCATTGAAGAAAAGAATTTATAACAAGCGATAAGGAATGTTATTTTGCACTCGATAATGTCCGCGTATTTATAGATCGGTTACCAGTCAAAAACGAAAGTTACGTAAGTAGAAATCTCTGTGGCAACAATACATCGGAATGCCCTCATGGTCATCGCGATGTAAAAAGGAGTATGTGAATGGCATGAAATTTACTTTTAAGTTATAACAAAGATTAGTGAGAATGAGAAAAAGAAACCTTCATGTACAATACGTACTGATAAGTTATAACAAAGATTAGGGAGAATGAGAAAAAGAAACCTTCATGTACAATACGTACTGATAAGTTATAACAAAGATTAGGGAGAATGAGAAAAAGAAACCTTCATGTACAATATGTACTGATAAGTTATAACAAAGATTAGTGAGAATGAGAAAAAGAAACCTTCATGTACAATACGTACTGATGAGTTATAACAAAGATTAGGGAGAATGAGAAAAAGAAACCTTCATGTACAATACGTACTGATAAGTTATAACGAAGATTAGGGAGAATGAGAAAAAGAAACCCTCATGTACAATACGTACTGATAAGTTATAACAAAGATTAGGGAGAATGAGAAAAAGAAACCTTCATGTACAATATGTACTGATAAGTTATAACGAAGATTAGGGAGAATGAGAAAAAGAAACCCTCATGTACAATACGTACTGATAAGTTATAACAAAGATTAGGGAGAATAAGAAAAAAAAACCCTCATGTACAATACGTACTGATAAGTTATAACAAAGATTAGGGAGAATAAGAAAAAAAAACTGTCATGAACAATACGTACTGTTAAGAGTCAATTACCTACCTGGTGAATACCTTGGATTCAGCACTGTTGGTAAAATAAATCTCAATTTCCCATCCGGCTCCACAGACAATTCAACAACATAGGACAAGGTTAAGACTGCACTCTCCCCAGCAGGCAAGTTGCCAAGTTTACATTCAAACATATCACCAGCTGTATTCGCCTCAGAAGAAAACAAGGCAGTGTGGCCACTTGATATTGCTTCTTTATATGTTCGTGTAGCCTAAAAAAACAAAGGTATGAATCTTAATAACAAGATGGTTTTTATAAAAATTATTAAAAGTGTAATCATTTTTAGCTAAGACATCACAATGAATTATAGATATAAACTAGTGCAAAAATTTTATACTTTGATTCTGCTTTATCGAAATTGATTGGTAGGAAATATTAGTATTTAGGTGTACCTATAAAATGTTACTGAACAGTAGACAAAAGGCATATTTTTCTAAAATCAACAATTCTAGTTATAGACGTTTGTCAGTTATGACGACAGTATATTACTGATGTTCAAATCTTGTAAATCAATTCCAGAAGAGACAAATAAAGGTAACAACAGATACTGAGAGAATCTGAATTGTTTCTATTAAGCCCTGTCTGTGTTTTTGTTTGATGTTTTTCTTTGTATTGATGTTATGAGATCAGCCTTTTTCAACTGATTTTTATAGTTTGTTTTTATGTTGAGCTGTTACACCACTGTCCCAGGTAAGGGGTGGGTTGTCTCATGAGCACTCACAAACTTGTTTAACCCCACCACATTCTTTATGTGCTTGTCCCAAGTCAGGAGCCTGTAGTTCAGTGGTTGTTGTTGGTTCATGTCTGTCATATTTGTTTTTTCATAAATTGTTTTGTTATAAATTAGGCCATTAATTTCTCATTTGAATTGTTTCATATTTTTCATGTCAGGACCTTTTATAGCCAACTGTATACAGTATGGGTTTTTCTCATTGTTGAATGCTGTAAGGTTGCATATAATTGCTTACATCCATTTCATTTTAACTTTGGTGGATAGTTGTCTCATTGGCAATCATACCACGTCTCCTTATTTTTATATAAGACACTGTACATTGTATTTGTCAACCAATTTGTGATGGTGACTGTAAACTTATTTAGTGTCGATTTCAGTTGTTCTTCCTCATAACTCTGTAGAAGCAGTTTTTGTGGAGGGAGCACACCCCTTTAAATGAAGTCTGTATAGTGTGAACATGTACAAGCATACACTATTAACTAAAATATGTTAAGTACCATATGATAGAACAGAGGGTATATTACTGCTGAGAAATGGGAAGTTGACAATTGGAAGATTGAAATAATCATGTTTGTCATAGATTCTTAGTTTGAAGTCCATCTGTGTTAATATAAAGAAAAAGATCAAGATATGAAACAGACCTTCTTTTTCAGTAGTATTCTTAATTTCAAATTCACTGGGAAATATGAGATGTAAGCACTCGTTGAAATGTGGGTTATTGAGTGACAAAATATCATCAATATATAAGAAAGTGAAATTAAAGAACTTTACAAGATGCTTTTTCTGTTTGTCTTTAAGAAGATTATGTATGACTTCTGCTTCATATGAGTATAAAAACTAGAGGGCCAGTAGAAGTGCTCAATAAGTACCCATTGGCATACCGGCTGTCTGCTGAAACATCAATCCACCAAAGTCAACAAATATGTTGTCGATCAAAAGGTCCAGCATTTTGATGATTTTATTCTCCCTGTATTTGTTGTGGAAATTATTTTTCTTTGTGCTATCAGCTGTTTTAAAAAAATTCTACTTTCTATTTACATTCTGCTCTGTATTAACAATTGTTTATCACCATTTTGCATTCTGTTAACAGTTGTTAATAAGTATTCTGTTTTCTGTTAACAGATATTTATTAGCATACAGCCTTCTATAAGTGTGTTACCTCTTCTTTATCTTTACATTCTGCTATAATGTGCTTTTTGTTGACATATGCCTCAAACTTGTAAACAGCTGACATGTCATCCAAAGGAAAGATAAAACTAGTCTGTAATGCTTCAGTGGTCTCATTGATGTAGGTCAGCTGACTTTCTACATTGGCTATAAATCCCTGGACTGTTGCATTGATGTTTGACTCCTTCAAAGGTACTGTTAATTTAAGATAGAAACATTGCTTCATTAAAATTGTAATTGAACCTTATATATATTTCTCAAACTGACTGACTGTCAGTTGAGTAATTCATCATTTACAGAAATTACTAAGAGGGTCATAATTCAGTAAACACATATATGTCATTTAGGACCACCCATTCCAGGGAGAGCTGTAGACGTCTGCTCCACTGATTAGTATATAATGTTTGCAATGAATATATATAATAAGATGGACCAAAAGTTCAAAACTAGGGTTAACTAGAATATGTGTTCATTGGAGACCTTGCAATTGGCTGCCCCACTTGCACTGCCATATGTATGGCATGATCTGTGAACTGTGAAATCAGGAACCTTAGCTATAAATATTAATTTGTCATATAATTTTACCAGTTAAGCTAACAATGAACATGTGTACTAACATTTAAGTTGATAGGACAAAACCTTCATGGTTAAATTCCTGAAGCAAAAAAACAAAATAAGATTTATAAAAATAAGAACAAATACATTTAGAAAAATAATACTTCTTATGCAGCCAAAAAACATGTCAACTATAATTAGTATTCATCTAAAATAGTTGAAACATGGAAGACATTCAAGCAGTAATTAATATAATGTATGTTTCGGGATAGTTGTTTCTGTGTGGAGATTGAAAAAGTCTGTGACATTTTTATATGCACATGCCTAGTGTTTTACACGGACAAATTAAGGAAATGTAATGTTTACTAAGATTTTGACTTAAAAAAGTCATCCATGCTGTTCTAGCTTGACCCCCTAACTCTGATGAAAACCAACTGTAAGGTGACATTGCCCATTTTTCATGCAGATGCTGTAGTAATCATAGCCCATTGGTGGCCTTGGGCTGTTTTCTGCTCTTTGATCGGTTGTTGTCTCTTTGTCACATTCCCCATTTCCATTCTCTATTTTCTAGCACTGCATATATAGATTTTTTATGTTATCATGCGACCTTTTTTGTAAAATGAAATCAAGACCAGTGAAAGGGACTATCTCGGAACAAAAGTATTTGTCTATATTAATTGTAACTACCTGTTAAATCTTTGCCTTCTATAATGAGTCCACACAAACACTTTCTAATAGACATGTTGATGACACAATTGTTTTAAATTTTAATCCTTCTCAAAATGCTATCCGACTGTTAAAAGGTTATTATAACTTAGACACTCTCATATAATCTGCAATAGAAATATATGAATAAAATCATAGGATTCTTAAGTGTCACAGGTTTAAGACAATGATAGAAATAAGACTATTACAAATATATGGTTATAGATGAATGAATATTTTTTCTCAATCACAGAATAATATATTCAATGAAAAATAAATTAGAAAAGTATGCGTTATTTCTCTAGCACTTTCATCCTCCTGTAGGAACTCTCATGATTCTAGTAATGTTTCGATTTTTCAGTTTTTTAACCAGGGATTGGGTCAACTACCTTTAAAATTTACTTTGCTTATTTAATGTAATCAATTACATTACAATTAAACCTTATTTTAATGTTATTGATTACATCATTAAGATTACATTTCTTTGAAGTACATTTTTTAATCATGATTACTTTTGATTACTTATGATTCATATTGATTTCATGGTATACTGTACATGTGCTATTACAGATTTTTTTTTCATCATTTTATCCTCACATAAAAAAAAGCCAATTTGAGTGAAAATTTAAAGGGCATGTGTCGCTCACATAGGTCAACGCTTGTGCAATGGCCATTCTGCAACATTAAATTTTTTAGACTAGAATACAATTCTTAACTAAAATCTCTTTTTTGTTAAATCTGTTTTGGCAGTTTTGCTCATCATTTTTCTGTTTACAGTTTTTCTCTACCTTCTATAGTTTTAACCCAAAACACAACAAAGTGATAAAATTGTGACATTATAATTTAAGGCCAATAACTTGAAATTGTCAGTTGTCTTTTTATAAGAGTTACATGTACTCCTATAAACGACAACTTATAAAGTCATCAATGTACAAGACATGTTAGCTGACCTATTTGCAGATGTTGTCTTGCTGATCATGTTTTGCTTCTTTTAAAAAGTTTCCATCTACATGTATCTATTATAGTTTTCAACATAAAAGGGAAAATTAAGAAAAAAACAGTAAAATAAATTTGTCATTTAAGGGTGATAACTCTTATAAGGATGATTTATAAGTCACATGATCATCTTTGTTTTTTTAAGTTTCTCTCTGCCTGTATTTTTTATAGTAATCAAGATAATAGGCAAAAACAAAAAATGGTAAAAAAACATCCATTTCTAAAAGGGCAACGACACGTATAAATGTAACACAATGAAGGAGTCAAATGATGATTTCTGCAAATGACTTATTTAGAGATCATGTCTTCCTGATCATTTTTGCAATTTAAAGTTTCTATCTTAAATACTATACGACCATAGATCAGACAACAGCCGAAGGCCACCAATGGGTCTTCAATGCAGCGAGAAACTCCCGCACCCGGAGGCGTCCTTCAGCTGGCCCCTAAACAAATATGTATACTAGTTCAGTAATAATGGACGCCATACTAAACTCCAAATTATACACAAGAATCTAAAATTAAAAATGATACAAGACTAACAAAGGTCAGAGGCTCCTGACTTGGGACAGGCGCAAAAATGCGGCGGGGTTAAACATGTTTTTTGAGATTTTGTAGTATTTTTTGAGAATTAAAAAAATCACAATAATGAAATAAAATTTTATACCATAGCCAGAAATTAGTAGTACTTTTGCTAATTAATATTCATAATATGTAAATGAGAATTGTACCACGTGATAATAGTTTAAACTGGACTGGCTTGATATCATTAAAATCTTTAAAACACGGATATTATAAGTTGCCCGTCACAGAGTCCTTGTTTAAAATCACTCTGATATTTCCGTAAAGTTGTCAGGCGGTCAAAATCAAAACAATGAACGCGAATTTAGTGAATTTTTCGTGTTTTCGTGAGTTTATTCTTCTTGAAATAGGGGCATTTTAACTTTACGTGGGAACCTAGAGTTCAACGACTACACATACAAGGTTTGGACTTGCTTATTCTTTGGACATTCAAGTTTCAAGTTTCATCCCCGCAACCTGTTTTTGTAATGACCTTGTTAGCCAATTTTCAACACGAAGTTTGCAAATTTGACGTTTCAGCCATTTTAGCCTGTATTTTATACTGCAATGTTAAAAGCCTCTCGCTTCGATTTTTAAAATAGCTCAGGAACCTTGATTTTTGCAACGACAGTCATTATGTTTCGTTTAAATGGTGTATATTGTTGTGTATATTTATTTTCTGTCCCCGCAACCAGTCTATCACTTAAATTAAAGTTAAAACAGACATTTTTTTTTCAAAATTCCCCATCATTTTAATAAAATTCCCCGTGACCCGTATCCGATTTCTTTAGTATAATATTCAAATACATTGTAAGCAAAGTGGCGTTGATTTCTGGATATGCCAGTATTGTTAACAGCAGTAATGAGAGGGTTCCAGTAAAGTGAGAAATGGAACAGAAACGAAACAGAGCGAAACGAAACGAAACATGGCGAAACGAAACAAAACACAGCGAAATGAAACGAAACACGACGAAACGAAACGAAACATGTAAATTGAGAAACGAAACACAACGAAACAAAATCTGTATTTTGAGGAACGACCTATAGAAAATCTTCCTGACATAGCCGAAGATCAATGTGGGTTTAGAGGGCCCTTTTGATTGATATCATCTAATCGTTTGCTTAAAAATTGTCAAAAAAACAACATTGGTGGTATGTTTATCTTTTTGGACAATTATGCCTCCCTCTTTCCTTAAAGTCTGGATCTGTCTCTGCTTTTTTTATATATGTATACAAAAGATCTCGTTTAATCCAAAGAGAATGATTGATTAACGGTTTATTCGAACACACATTACACACTGGGATTAACTTCACTGATTGCCGAACTAGAAAGAACCCATTACATACCAGTTCTATTGTGCTTTGTATTTTTCTACATGTATGCTTTATAGTCCCACACATTGTTATCATTAATAATATTATGATATATTAGTATGTATAACTTTTCATTCGATCACGTCTGTTAATATCATTGTATATGCAATAATCTGCAATAGGTTTTTTATCATTTATTGTTTATGAGTTTGTGCCAAGAAAGGTATTTGATTCATGAATGAAACACTTACATGTACGTATCCCAACTGAAATAACCATAGCCAAGATATGTAAATGGTATGGACACTTTGCCATACATAACTTTAGGTAGTAGGATCCAAATGTTCAAGTTGGATACATTCACCCTATATGTGGCTACAACATTGTCAAGTCCGACCTGGGACGTCAAAGGGAGGGGGGGTTGACCACGTTGCGACCTGACGTCTCTTTTGAAAGTACATGTGACCTTTAAAATGTTTAAACCGAGAATCAAATCAGTTTAGAACTGAATAGTTTGCTTAAAAGTGACCTGGTGACCCAAGGCAATTTTTAATCGTGACCTTGTGATCTAAAGTGGTACTGGAGCACAGTCACTTTTCTCCTTTTATTCATACAATATTGTATGTTCGACTCGTCATGTTCTACTTTCTTTTTTAAACTTACGGTACCGAATATTGTGTTTTGTTTTTCGGCATTTATCTTGACAGACGCGTGTTACTAGGTATAGTATCTACCACATTTTCACAAGATAAGCTACGAAGTACATACGGCATCTCCATACAGTTGAAGTCGATGGTACCTGTTGTAAGTAGTTTAAAAGGTTAATATGAATTGAACTTGTATTAAACGAGATTATGTCTTGCCTGATTTGCAACAAAATGAAAGAAGAATGTCATCATGGTCATGGACTGCCATAATAAAAAATCTTTGAAACTTAAAATCAAAGAAGAAACGAATACAAACTAGAATATGTTATAGTGACGAATTAGAAATGGACATATTGTGTATACACCTTTCTATTGTTAAAATTATACTGTTGCTTTCTAGATGTCCTTAGTTTGTTCTTGTCGTTTGGTTGCTGTCTTATTGACGTGTAACCTACATTTCATACAGTTTTAGTTCCGTTGAGTGTACTTTTGAATCGGTGCATGAAAAATCATAACTAAACTGGTTATTGTGTATGGATTAATTGTCTTTCTTTCCCTCAATAATTCTAGGAAGATGAATCGAACCAAAGAGAGATGTACACAGACACTTGTTTCTATCAATATATAATACATATGAATAGTCGACCTTCCCATGTGGAGATGTACCTAAATTAAAAATATTAATATGTAAACAGAAAATAATGTTACACTTTTCAATCCTTAACTTCCCCTCCCTTTACTGTATCAATTTTAAAGACATGTCGCTTCTAAACAAAATCTGATTGATCTGTAGCTTATCCCCCAAACCTGCTTTGATACAAACTTGAATATGTTCCTCATTAAATTCGATCCCAAAACTTAAAAGGCATACATATCTAAATAGTCGTAATTAATTCCATTGAGCACGAAACTATAATCCAAATCAGATTTTATTTATTTGGATATTCTAAAATACATTTCTTTTTCGGCAGAAATTACAAAAAAAATTATTATTATCTGGTTTGACAGGGAAACACTAATTTCAGATGTACATTGTACACAAAATATTATACACCCTTTGAGTGGAAAACATATCATGTTTTAGCATAAAATCGTCTATTTTGGAGTGAAAAAAATTGGATGATTTAAATAAATTAGATGTTTTTGATGGTCTTTTGGATTCTGTTGACAGTTTTGACTTTTCTACTCTAATTAAATGGTCGTTTGGTAGATCTGAATGCGAATTTTCTACTCTTTACACTACAACTCCACACAATCTTGTCAAACAAAAGTTTTCTCATTTAATTAAATGGTCGTTTGGTAAATCTGAATGCAAATATATTTGCTGCAATTCATTTAAAGCCTTCTTCTCTAATGTGAACGGTAAATATGCTAGATATACTTACTGGAGGTGGGATGAGATGATTGAAGCTGTTAATTTCCCCTTGATAATATTTATGTACGTTTTGGCAACAAAGTTTATCGACTGGTTGTAGGTATTCCAATGGGCACTAATTGCGCCCCTTTAATAGCAGACTTGTTTTTGTACTGTTATGAATCATAGTTTATGACCACACTAAGTAAAGACCCATCAAAATTGCATTTAACTGATAATTTCAACAACACTTACCTTTATCTTGATGATATTTTTTCGTTAAAAATCAAGAATTTTCTAAATATACTGTCGAAATTTATGACAAAAGGGACGATTTTTCATTCCCGATTGTTATTTTTCCATTGGCACCATCTTATGGTGTTTGAACTTCACAACTCATTCAATATGCCCGTGTCAGTTGTGATGTTTTTGATAATTTAGTCTTAGATGCATAATTTTTTTATTACTTGTTATATTAGTGGCTTTGAACTAGCTGTCAGTAACTTCAAGTACTCTCAGATCAGTACTTAGTGTCTTTTTGTTGTTGGGATATACAAGTACCCGTCCACGTCCACTCTGTGTTTTTGTTAGATGTATGTTATTTGTATCCATCTGATGAGTTAAGCCTTTTTCAACTGATTTTTATAGTACGTTCTTATGTTGTACTGTTACACCACTGTCCCTGGTTAGGGGGAGGTTGGGATCCAGCTAACATGTTTAACCCCGCCACATTCTGTATGAATGTGCCTGTCCCAAGTCAGGAGCCTGTAATTCAGTGGTTGTCAATTGTTAAAGTGTTACATATTTGTTTTTCGTTCATTTTTTGTATATAAATTAGGCTGTTAGTTTTCTCGTTTGAATTGTTTTACATTTGTACATCATTTCGGGGCCTTTTATAGCTGACTATATATGTGCAGTATATTATAGGTAGTAAATGCACACCTTTGCTGTGCATTATCCAGATTATAGCGCAGTAAGAACAAAGAGATTTTACTCATGTCATGTGTTAAGTATCCATAGGACAGTATGACTCGCTTAAAATATCAAATTTTCATGTTCATTGAATCGCAAATTATGGTTCAAATTCCTAATTTGGCATACATTTCAAAAAGAACATGTCATAATGAACATGTGTATAGTTTCAAGTTGACATGAACACAACTCCATTGTAATTTAATCTATCTTATTTACAAACAGAATAAACCTAGTATTGGACGGACGGACGGACTGACGGCAGCACAGACCAGAAAAGATTATGCCCCACTACCGTAGGCGGTACATACAAATCCTAGTCTCAAAGGTAAGAATGGCCAATTTTCAGACGATCCCCAGTAACAGCTATTCTAATTTCAATGTTCCCTCATTGTTGAACGTGACAAGAAGCTCTGTAGCATAGCTGATGCACCTAAGCCTCACATTTAACATAACAAGTTGACTAATTGCAGCTAATGCACGAAGATACCAATGTAAATGACGAGTAATTTTTTCAAAGTTGAATGGAATATTCGGTGTCTTCGGCTAAGCACATATCTAGTCAGGAATATTTTCTACATGTCGTTCCTCAAAATACAGATTTTGTTTCGTTTCTCAATTTTCATGTTTCGTTTCGTTTCGTCGTCTTTCGTTTCGTTTTGTTTCGCTGTGTTTCGTTCCGTTTCTCACTTTACCGGGACCCGTAATGAGATTATGTGATCGCCAAGTTCAGGTGATCCTTAAACTTGTTTTCCCATTTTCATTTTTTACTACATGTATAGATAGTTTTGTTAGACTATCCTTCTATGAAAAACTAAGCAAGCTTACTGTAGAACTTGAATACAGAAGTTGGTTTTAGTATCCCAATTTACCTACGAATATTGTCCGCCTATCAACGTCAACATACCATATTCAGATTCAGATAAAAATTATATATTTGTGCGCACATTTGCATGTTAAAATATCTTTTCCTTTCATGGTGTTGACAGTTGTGGTTTTCCTAATCAAAATCACGCAAACAAAAACAAGTTGTTTACATTTCCGGCTGTAGTAATAGTGAAGTCAATAACCGAAAAGATTTTTTCTTCCGGGTTTGTATCTGAAAAATTTCAGCACTCAGTGATGATCAGTGATCCTCAGTGCGTAAACAAACTCATTAAATATACCATGATTGAAATTTTGTACGTCAGTCTCGCGTTTCGTCTACAGAAGACACATCAGTGACGCTCGAATCAAAATAGTTAAAAAGGGCCAAATAAAGCACGAAGATGAAGAGCATCGAAGACCCAAATTTCAGCCAGAGACATATATATATATGCGTATATATGTCTCTGTTTCAGCTAAAAGTTTTGCCAAATACAGCTAAGGTAATCTATTCCTGGGATCGAAAATCCTTTGTATTTCGAAAAATTAAAAGTTTTGTAAACAGTTGATTTATAATTATGACCAAGGATTTGTATAGTGAGACCAGAGACATATATGTCTCTGGTGAGACCCACTATTATACAAATCCTTGTTATGACCATATCAATGATAGTTCATGTTAACACACTGACAGAATATTCATCATGTTGAATGTGGGCAGTATTTGGAAGAAGACAGAACTCTGAAGTGCTGATTTATAAATATGAGTCTGTCTTATAACTGAATTTACCAGTATACGGTATGGCCTCAGTGGACATAATATATTATAATAGTTCCAGGTCTGGCATAGTTTTTGTTGTTGAATGTAACATTGACCATTTCCTAATATTGTATATGTAACCTGACTCGGTAATTACTAAAGTGTGTTCATATATTATTACTTTACTGAATACTTACTTAATGCTGTTCAGTAGTTGTCGTTTGTTGATGTGGTTCATAAGTGTTTCTCGTTTTTATATATAGATTAGACCGTTTGTTTTCTTCTTTGAATTGGGGCCCTTCGGTGAGCCAAGGCTCCGTGTTGACCTATAATGATAACATTTTACACATTGTGACTTGGACATTGGCACTCATACCACATCTTTTTATCTATATTTAATGTTGTTTTCCGGTACAGGATCCTCACGGTTCCTCTTCACAAACTGACTCATATATTAGTAATTTATTCAGTAAAATCAGATACCACGTCATCCACTTCTGATGTGCTGTCATCATTTTATCTTTTTTCATTTGTGTGATTAAGGGTCCCATAGATAAGTTAAAAAAAATAAAAATTATGACATTTAAAATATCCAAATGTGTGTCTATAATTTGATGGAATATACACATGATACATTGACTTTTTAAAAATATTAATGGTTATAAAATGAGCCAGTTAGATGACCAAAATTTCAGAAATAACATTTAGGCAGATATTGTTATTTTTATTTTAGAAACTCATTCTTTTTCTAATGATGTTTTATACCTTGAAGGATATATATTTTGTTAATTGTAGATCGACTGAATGTAGTAGAAAACAGAGGGGTTTAGCTGTATTTGTTAAGAGAACAATCATAGGTAGTGTGAAATTAGTTGATAAATGACATGTTTTGGTTTAAATTAGACCACACCTACTTTGGTCTTAAACGTTATCTTTATATTTGTTTCAGTTTGAACATATCACCATATAATCCACCATATACATTAAGAAATGGTATGGAGACAAAAATATTTGAAAAACTTGAGACTGATATTTCTAAATTTAACTCATAGTGAATGCGCATATTACGTACAGTCAAATAGTTATGTAAAAACAGACATATAAATTAATATATACAGTATTATATGTCTCTGTAGAAATATGTACTAGCTCCCAGTTACGTATTTTAAATGGACGTACTTTAGGAGACTCTGTAGGGAAAGTAACTTACCATAGTTACAATGGACCCTCAAGAAATGATTATTGTATCTGCAGTTCAACATTCTTATCAAACATACTGAACTTCAGAATTGAAGACATTTATCCAAATACAACAGACCACTGTCAAATAACCGTAAACATTTTTTGTAGTAAAATGTAAAATCACAAAAATACCGAACTCCGAGGAATATTCAAAACTGAAAGTCCATAATGGCAAAATCAAAAGCTCAAACACACCAAACGAATGGATAACAACTGTCATATTCCTGACTTGGTACAGGCATTATGTAGAAAACGGTGGATTAAACCTGGTTTTATAGCTAGCTAAACCTCTCACTTGTATGACAGTTGCATAGAATCCCATCATATTGACAACAATATGTGAGCAAAACAAACAGACGTAATAGGTAAAAATTCGTAAGGGTTCCACGGAACCCAGTGTCTCGCCTACTTTTGCTGCTAGTCACAGGCTCAACAAAAATGGGGAAAAAATTATTAAAAATTTTCTTATAGATACTATCTTTTGATTGTAAGAAGCTTTTGTCCAAGTTTGGTAAAAATCCAGAATGGTTTATGAATCTAATAAATGTTTTAAAAACTTTAACTACAGACTGTATGTTATGTTAACTGAAAGAAAAACTAAGTCCATTTATAAGTAATATACGGAAAAACAGGAAATATATTTTTACAAAATTTCCTTTAGATACTAGCTTTTGATCACAAACAAGCTTCTGTCCAAGTTTGGTACAAATCCAGGATAGTTTAAGAAATTTATTAAAATTTTAAAAACTTTAACCACAGAGTGAATGTAATGTTAACTAGCAGAAAAACTAAGTCCATTTAAAAGAAATATACGAAAAAACAGGAAATATATTTTTACAAAATTTCCATCTAGATACTAGCTTTTGATCATAAACAAGCTTCTGTCCAAGTTTGGTACAAATCCAGGATAGTTTAAGAAAGTTGTTAAAATTTTAAAAACTTTAACCACAGAGTGAATGTAATGTTAACTGGCAGAAAAACTAAGTCCATTTATAAGTAAAATACAGAAAAACAGGATTTTTTTTGTTACAAAATTTACTTCTGGATACTATCTTATGATCATAAACAATCTTCTGTCCAAGTTTGGTAGAAATCCAGGATAGTTTAAGAAAGTTATTAAAATTTCATAAAACTTTAACCACAGAGTGAATATTTGTGGACGCCGCCGCCGCCGACGACGGAATGTAGGATCGCTATGTCTCGCTTTTGCGACAAAAGTCGCAGGCTCGACAAAAATGAATGTCAAAAATTAAAATTAAAAATAAATGCTTATATTACAACATAAACATAAATATAAATAGATAGCGAGCTTGTGCACAGTCGCTTGAATTTTAGTGATAAAAATATGGAATTTTTTTTTTTAAAAATAGTGGTATATATAAATTCAAGCGACTGTGCCTTGTGCAATTGAACTTTTCTATGTATGTTTGATTTCATATTATAGGTTAAAAATATAAGTAAATCATCGTTTTTACCTGTATAAGAATGATTTTTTTGTGCCAACGCAAGAAGGTCCGTGCTGTTCATGGAAAGATATTCACCTTGTGGGCAAAGTACTCAGCTCAGACTATCACAACTGCAGAACTACTAAAACAGACTGCGTTTAAATGGCCCTGCACCAACAACAGAACCAACAGTAGGCAACAACCAGTGAACATAGATAGTGCTCAGACATTTGGAATTAGTGCTTTAGTTATATGTTTTATATCTATTGTAACAATAGTGCCAGTTAACTGTTTGAGAATATATTGATTCGTTTGGTGTGTTTGAGCTTTTAATTTTGTCATCTGCTTAGGGACTTTCCGTTTAGAATTTTCCTCGGAGTTCGGTATTTTTGTTATTTTACTTTTTCCACACTTTAATGCTATGCGAAGAAAAGTTTTATATCTATTATGTAATTCCGTCATCTTACAACGTCCAATATCTATGACGAGGTGGAAGGGTTGTATAGACCTCATGTACCCATGAAGGTCTTTCATGGTTTACTAGTTGATCAACGATGAGGGTGGTTTGTAACGATCTTGACTACCCATGAGAGTCTTGCACAATCGTTATACCACATTTAGTGCTGAATATTGTTTATAAATAAATTTCATACTTTCTAAATATTGGTCATAAACAATTTTAAACTTTTCAAAACAAGATAAATAAATTCTCTAAATAAATAAAGGAGAAGGTTCTGTAAGGGCTTATTTTGGCCTAAAATTTGAAGTACATCTGATGAAAGATTTTTGACATTTTTTAAACACTTAAGTGTCTTCGTCAGTCGATTCAATTAGTTTATATAAAAGATTTGAACTGATTTGGTCATTAAAGACGCCCAAGTTCAAGCTTACATATGAAAAGTCTATCAAATATGCTACAAAACGTCACTTTTCAGATGGTTTTTGTCTAAAATGGAAGTGGCCGCATTCGTGTTCAGTCTCAACCTTTATATATGTTATGTATCATCATCAAATACAACATATATTTAAATATTAAGACTGAACACAAGTGCGGCCACTTCCATTTTAGACAAAAACCGTCTAAAAATAAGCACAAATGCTAAAATTGTGAAGATAGATTTCAGTAATTTTGCATGAATTAATGATGCTAGTACCTGATGCATGTGCATTGTGTTGTCAAAAACAGCCCATATTTATGTAACAAAAGTATTCTTCTTTCCAATAAATAGCTAACAGTTTACATTTTTAACATTTTTTTTAAATGCTATATTTTGGGACCAAAAAGGGGTCTTAGCGGGCCTACTCCTTTCGTTTTAGAAACAATTGTAAATACCAAAATCTATTCAATGTTACTAATTTGTAATGATTAAAAATTAAATCAAATAGGTGTCAGTAAAAGTTTAATAATGTAACTGTTCAATGGAGACAACAAAGCCAACCGGCTATAGTTTTCTTTATCCAATTAGCCAAGGAAAAATCAGCTACAAATTGGTCATTGTGATTTCAAATTATATACTTTTCACTGACTTGTGAGGTATTGAGTGAAATTTAAATATCTTATTCATCATTAAACACCATTTGAATGCATTTAGATAAGTTGGTACGAGTTTTTAGTGGTACGAGTTGACATTGGTACGAGTTTGCAATGGTACGAGATAACTATAATTCCTCTCAAGACAAAGTACATAATAAAAAACAAGTTGCTTTCTTTAAAAAAAAGAAAAGCAACA